AATGACGGCACTTTGATACTTTATGCATCGTTGCCTTGCGTTGGAGGTAGCCCATGGGGAAACGTGAATGGCCTTACTGTTGAGGGTCAAGAAAGAATCAAAGAGCAACAAAAACAGTTTACCAAGTTGTTCAAATCTTTTGTCAAACTTGTGGATGAAGTTCATGATGAACGAACCTTGATAGCATTTGAACTGTCCAAGAATTGCAAGTATTGGAGATGGCCGATGGTTAGAAAATTCCTTATAGAACGTTCCATGACTACTCATCATTTTGATGGTTGTATGTTGGGTGTTCTTGGAAACAACGGTCAACCAATGAAGAAAAGTTGGACTATTGCAGGAAACTTCAAAGAGCTCGCAGTGTTAGACTCATTTACATGTGATGGCAAACATGAGCATGATCAAAGTAGGGGCAAAGCTCTTAAACTTGCTGAGAACTATACTTTCAAGTTGACCGACATGCTCCATGAGTGTTTCCGGGTAGCTGTGGTGGGCCAAACATCCAAAAGGATTTCACCCGCTGTCATTCGTGCCTGTCCTGCTAAAATGGCTGACTCGCGATATGCCACAGCACACCCGGCCAGCCGCGAGGCTGCGCTCGAAGCCACACGTGAGGCTAACAAAGAAGCATGGTTGCTCCTTCACAATCGCATTTTGTATGCATTGGCCATGCGCAATGAAGGTGAGAATCAGGCTGCTCAGGACCTCGTGGATGGATTGATGACCGAATGGACGCCGGCTTCGGCCCTGAGGTTCTATGGTCGAGAGGATCCGCTTGCAGAATACCTTAGCTTCTGCTTTTTGCCAAAGGAGTCCCACATTGAAAAGATCATGTTGCCAGAGATGCCTGTCAATGAAGTAATCTGGATCTTAGTCTCTGACTCGTCATGTGCATTGATCACAGGGCGCAGGAAAACACTTAAGAAGTTTGACCTGTCCGAGCATTACCGGCAGCGCAAACCTAAGTATGTGACTGAGTTCATCCATGAGATGCTTTGGGGCAAAACTCTGCAGAGGCTGGTCAAGCGTGGGATTGAATTGGCCGCGGACGCCCGCGAGCGCTACCCTGATGCACGCATCAACCTGCATTTGTCCTGGTTCGGGAATGAATTGGTAGGAGAGGATGGGATTGCCCAAAATCCAAATTGGCCGTACGACGGCCCCAACGGGCACTGGCCCACGATCCTGGATGATTGTGAGCGCCACTTGACTTGGTACATCACTAAGGCCCGGGAGTTGGATTTGCAGTCGGCCGGTCTCGCGACCGCGCCTTGGAGCGCAGATTACGGCATCCATCCTATCTTTGACCAGTTCTTTGATGTTCTTGAGCCTCGATTTAAAGCTCTTACCAGCAGCCTGCAAGGGCTAGCCAATCCGAAGTATCCGTGGCTGAAAGCAAAGGGGTACGCCGATGCAATGGAATTCAGAGACCAGTGGCATTTCGCCAACTCTGAAGAAAATCGCACGCGCCTTGCTGCCTATTGGACAGCTACCCTTTTCGCAATTGATTGCGGCTGGCGGGTTGGTCGGATTGGTTTGCAGCTGTCTGAGTGTGGCCAGGAAACATGGGATGATTTGCGGAGGAACATGAGCGCCGTCCTGGACGAGCTGCCAAGATCCTATCAGGAGACATGTGCAAACATCACCAAGTTGCTTTTTGGAGAGTCCCGCAGACACATCACGCCGACGGGCAGGTCATTCACCAAGGAGGATGTCGAAGCACAACAACCTGACACCGAGGACTACATCGACACCAAAACGATGCCTTCGGGCACGTTTGCTGAGCCTCCCAAAGATGACCCTCCAAAGGCCGCCGGCGACGGCGAGCCCGCTGCATCCAGCAGAGCAACAATCCTGGTCCAAACGGCTGAGGTCATGTTGAAGCCGAGGCCGAAAGCAGCACCAGCCCCAGTGGATGAGCCCGCAGATGACAAGAGGGCCACATCCAGCCAGTACCAGCCGCGGGCAACCGCGCGCTTAGAGGAACATGCATCCGGCCACGTGAAAGCATATTGGATGGAAGAGCATTTGCCTGAATACCAATATACAATGGTGACCAATGCAGACGGGGATGATGTGCCCGGGATCCTCTTTGAAGGTACGGCTTATGAGCTGGAGCTGATATCGGCATCCGACGTCGAGACCATTGCAAGCCAGACTCGCGTCGACAAGAAGTTCTCCGACTTTGCAACTCGTGTCAACAAAGTTTGCAGGGGGCATGGATCCTGTTCCAAGGTGCCAATGGACAAAGACCTTTGGATTGACTTGGAGGATTTTGCCAAAGCCTTCCGCAAGGAAGTGCCCCCAGATGTGTTCATCACCATCGCAAACCTGTTTGGCACTGCAATGAAGATCGACAAGCATGGCAAGAGTAGGTTCCAATTCTTGTGTGCAAAGATCTCCCATTTTCCTGTCGACAATGGCTTAGGTATGCCGTATTACCCTGTGAAAATCCGTGCAATTCAGGGTCACTCCGAAGCTGCCTTGAAAACCGCCGGGGGCCTTTATGCCAATTCAACCATGGTGTATTGCTCAAACCAAGTATCCCCCGAGCGAAAAGCCGCCTTCACTGGCGTGCCCTTGTGTGCCATGACTGAGGTCCCTGAAATTGTTTTTCATCGCACGATGAGAAGCAGTTGGAAGAGCATCGCACAGAACGGCCTGATCCCAGGCGGCGGTGACACAGTCAACAGTGGCCGTGCTCATATCTACATGGCAGAACACTGTATCGGCACACAGGGATATCGATCTGGATTAAGAGCAAAATGTCCAGTCGAAGTCAAAATCGCAATGCGGCAAGCAGTTGAAGCTGGTGTCATCTTTAGTCGCACAGAAATGGATGGTATTTTGTGTTCAGAACGCATCCCACCGCAGTTTCTGGTCAGCATCTCAGAAGATGGACAGGTGCTTTGGTCCCGCGCCGAGAGCAATCTCGAGCCCAGTACATGGACAGGCGCGGCATCAGCCTCAGCACCAAAATCCACAGCGGTCACCCTGACTGCCCGAGATGATGCAAATGACGACCCAATGGATGACACCAGCACGGGGCGACCCGATGCCACGTCCACTGATAATGCAGCCACTGCCCCAATGCAAGTTGACCAGCCGTCCGCAAGGACGCGCCGTGTTTACATTGCGCCAAAGTACTGCGAACCTTTCATGGGCTCCTGCCCCCTCTGTCAGGTTGAGTACGTCAGTGGCCAAGTGACATGCACCACATGTGGATATGAGCCACTCCCAGTGGACGAAAGTGGCGAAACAAAAGAGGCCGACAGATCCAACAGAAGGACCCGCATCCTTGAACGGCGAATGCAGAGTCTCGCCGGGTTCGGAATGTATGGGAAAATGAGCGGCACCTTGTTGACGGCTTTGACAAATGAGCAAGCCGATCTTCTTCGCCGGGAACTGGGCCCCAGGGGAATCACATCCGTGGAATCAGCAGTCCTCAAAGACTGCCGCGATAGGCATCGTCGTGCAAAAGCGCTGGGATATGAGGATGTAGAAGACAGATTCGCCAGCGATGTCACTTTTTGCGACCGCATCCACGGTGAGGGGAAAGGCCTGCAGGATTGTATCTTTGATGATATGTTTGCATACGGCAACCTCCCCGATCCCCCAAGGACTAGAGCTCAGGTCTCGGCTGGCGTCGCCGCCAATGCCCAAAATGAAAGCTGCTTATCCAAGCTGATTTTCATGTCACAGCCCCGAGGCGTGGATGGGTTCCCAGTTGAGTTCCGCAAAACATGGAAAAAGGTCTGGGGTTTCATGTTCGGCCGCCACGTTTTTACAGAGGATGAATATGTCAGCTACATCGGCCGTCGTGGCGCATACCGTGGCCTGTTGACCTGGAAGGGCACCGTCCAAGTTCCTTTTGATGGCACTCTTGAATTCCTCGAAAAGGTGTATGAGGAAAACCTTCCATTGGTTCGGGGCAACCTTGAACGCAAAGAGAAGCAGAGCGCCGCTGCAAAGGCTGGAGGTCCTGGAGGTCACAAGGCCGACCCCACGGTCGCGCCCACTGCTGAGCGAAAGCGCAAAGCCGAAGCTGATGCATCCGCCACCACACATGCCGACACAGCCGCCTCAAGCTCTGCTCGCGCAGATGCCTCGCACGCTGATGCCCCAGATCCCAATAATGCACCATTTCTTGCACCCGAACCACCAACATCCAAAGCAGGAGCACGACCATTCTTGGAGCCTGAGACACCGCCCACTGCAAAAGCAGCAAGCACAGTCGCATCGAAGGCTGCAAGCTCCGGTCGCCCGGATGCCTCTTGGAGTTGGAATCGTGATCACTATGGTGCACGCCGAGAATGGAGTTTCTGGCGTGGGGCTTGGTATTACCGTGACGAGGCCGGCGGCCGGTGGATCTATTGGAACCGCAGGTAGACGATGATTTTCTTTTGTAGCATAGCGCAAGATGCGGCATGGTAATGTGCCTTCCTTGCAAAGCTGCGCTGGGTTTTACGGGCTTGAGCTTTTTATAGGGACCTTTGAAAGACTGCACAAAATGTTCAAAACCAACTAAAGAAATTTGGCTACCCGCGAGGGTATGCTTTTCTGGGTTATTCGTTCTCCGCAGTCGTCCCTGCTCGCCCGAGGGGGGTGTAAAAACTCCTGCAGTAAAACCATGTAGTGTACATATCATCGATCTACTCTGTAGCGTTGGTTCAAAAGTGCTAGCAGCTTAGCGGATTTTACCCCATTGTCGGTTGACCTTGTAAAATACAATATCCCTGATTGTTGATGAGTTTCAAAGTGAAAATAAGTGAAGTAAGGATAAGAATGAAGTGAGATGAAGTGAGCGTGTTCCAAGATGTTCCGAGATGTTCCAAGATGTTCCGAGATGTTCCGAGATGTTCCGAGATGTTCCGAGATGTTCCGAGATGTTCCGAGACTCAATATTGACTTCCTGACCTTTGCCACTCTGACCTTTGCATCCAATCATCCAATGGCATCCAATGGCCATGGCCTCGATTCGGGGGTGCCTCCGTCGCCAGGTGGACCTCACATTTCAAAACACCGCTGCCTTGGTGAACACGGAGCTGCTGAAGGCATACTCCAAGATGTGTCCACAGCTGCGCGATCTTGGTATCGCAGTCAAACGTTGGGCCAAAGCAGTCTCCCGAACAAAAAAGTGTGGGATAGTGTGGGGCTATGGCTAGACATCAGGACATCAAAAGGATTTCAAAGTATTCCCCGGCTGTTCAAAAGACTTTTACATTTGTGGCATACTAGAAGACCAACGGGCATGTTTGCAGCTTGAGTTGTAGATCAATGGAACATCCAGCTTACGCAATCCAAACATATCATACCCTTTTCTGGAAACTGTTTGTTTTCTTATGATTTCTTTGGTTTGGGATGAATTTGTCCCATTGCTTCCAGTTCAGAGCTGCGGTTTGAGATTTATCATTTTTTCTTTAATCTCAAACTTGCCCTCGCTTCTTATGGGCTGGGAGTTCCAGCCTGCCTTCCAGAGCCAACCGTGCGCCGCGTCTTTTAACGCACTGAGGCTGGTGTATGTGGTGCACCCCAGGGCCATTTGTCTTCCTACTCTTTCACTCTGATGGCAATCTACTTTATGCAAACCTGCCACGGAATGCCATGTCTGCCAACGAACGCATTCTCAGAGAATGGTCCTGTCATGGCCTTAGTGCGCAGAGTCCAGTCTGGGGACTCTCGGCCTCTGGGCCTTGAACGAATAGAACTTAGTTTAGCAAGTTTGGTACAAAAATCTTTCCCATTAACGGGGGATATATACTGACCAGCCGAAAAGAACATACGAGATACAGGGTATCTAAGATTGGCAATGTTTCCTGCTGTGCGTTTGTCTCCGTGGGTCCTTGTGTAGATTTGGTGACTTGAAGAAGACACTGCAACGAGGAACAACAATAACTTTCCAATTCGCAAAAACGACGAAAATAGGTAGGCACTTTGACATCATTGATTTGTAGCATGATTTGAATTCACAGAATTCAATAGCCGCCAAATGCTTCCCAGTGAGGCGCCAAATGTCCGCAATTTGCGCTGGGAAACCCCATTGCCCGTGTCAGCCCTGCTGATGCAGTTCTGCCTCTTCTACTACCATGAGTTTCAGTGGGGCACAGAAGTTGTGTCACCACGCCTCGGATGCAGAATGAGGATCACGCATGAATGTTTTAGCTGGCTGGAGACCTGGGGCGAAACACGTTTGCACATTGAAGATCCCTTCATCTTGGAGAGGAATCTGAACTGTGTACTGGGCTCTTGGCAGGAAGGTGCCACAAGCTGACTGTGAACCCTGTGGAATCTTGTAGTAACTTATAGTAGTAGAATGTTGACAAATGGTATCCAGTATCAATAGGTATGCTTTTCTCATTTCTTGGTTGATTCACAGAGGAGTACCATCTCATTGAACAGCCAACGGTACCAGACTGACTCCTATTCTTTCCGAAAGGACCTGATTGGTTGTGACTGGTTGCCTTTGTTTTGCTGCAAGTAGGGCCCTAGAATGTCCCGGGATCTTTTGGGATCCTTTGGGAGGTGTGGCCCCATTTGTAGGTCGACTTCGAGAAGTGCTTCAGGAAAGTGCAGTGGCAATGATCGCTGGAAAGCTCCCCAGGCAGGAAGTTTTGTTTCCAGTCACCAGTCATCACTTACTTTTCTCGTGACCATCAGCCAGTCGGATGCCCAAGCACTAGGTTGACATGCTCTATTCTAGTCTATTCAGCTCTATCTCGAAAGGGCAATCAGTACGTTCTGGGAGGCCCCCAATTTTGGACATCCGTTTCTATTTTCACCAGGGTATGCTCCATGTGCCTCCCACGTCTCCCGAGTCTCCCGAATGACACCAGGAGTTGTTTCTGTGCATGCCAAGAGCATTTGAGAGCTTTCCGAATTTATAGGGTAGCCCTAAATCCAATGGTTAATCACCATTTTCCCTAATAAAATGGCTGTTTGAAAGGTACACCACATTTTCAGACAGACCCATATCCAGCTGATGATTTTAACCCCAAGATCGCACTTGAGGTGCTTGGACAGCACAGCCCACACAGAGGAGGGGAGCTGCGCTGATCCTATGCAGTTGAGGGTTAAGTGAAGCCCCAAACATCCCTAAACCATTGACCTTCTGAGACAGGTTGCTGCTTTGTTGAATTTAGCTGCCTCCCAAGTCTAAGTGTTCAGCCAGTTACATGTTCGGGGACCTTACTCCTATGACGCCCGCATGAAGAGTACTTCATGTGTTTCCGCCTAGGATCCTTTGATATTATTTTGGCAGCGTGACAAAATGGCCAATGATTTGTGACCTGGCCAACAGGACACAGCAAGCACAGAGACTCCAGCATCTGGGCTAGCCGACAAGACACCAGCATTGTCATCTGATGCTGAAGATCTGATGAAGCCTTTGACAAAGGTGCGGCTACTTGATGAGTTTGCGAGAGGTTTTGTATACTGTAGAATATGAGATCAGCAAGTAGGGGGAGATGTGAGATACTGTGGAGTAGGAGTTTGGTCAAGGAACATCCCATTTCAAAACTCCATTGTTCAAGTTGAATGAATCAATGGATCATGAACATAGTGAATCAATGAATCAAAGCATATAATGAATCACCAGGACACTTTTCATTCGAACGTGTACACCATTGTTTACAGCCTTAGTTTACTCCCAACTCCCCCATTCATAAGACCAGCACAGGAGGGTCGAGTCGAGACCTTTGGGGAGGACCGCATCGAGCGCTTGGATTCCTTGCGGGCTTCACCGGGGCTTCCCCCGGGGCCTCCAGGGCTTCCTCCGGGTCGTTTCGCACCGGCGCCCAGGCCCACCAGACGGGCCGGGCCGGCGGGGCGGACTGGGCTGACTGGGCTGACAGCACCTGAGCCGTCTGAGGTGCCAAGCCCAGCCCTTGGGGCTCGTGGGGCCGGGGTTTTCGGGCGGCCGCTGAAGGTACCACTTGCCATCAACACTGTCGAAATCGTTGAAGATGACGAGGCAGAAGTGGCAGAAATGGCAGAGTTGCTGAGCAACAGAGTCTTGCGGTTCTGAAGAAGACATAAAATCTGTATAAGTTGCTCGTGTGAAGCGTTTTTTTCCCTATATATATATATCTATATATATATATATAAATGTGATATTCTTTGATGTGCCCTAAGCATCCTTTTCGTGGATCTTCACACGGGAGACGTGTGCGGCGGCTTTACTGGGTCGCCCTTCCACTTAGTGCAGGCCACATGGATTTTCATGGCCTGAATTTGATCACCCTTTTCGAGTATTTTGGAGCTTGAGTCAGCAGACTCTCATTTTCTCCGATGCACATTGAGCTTGTCAGCCAGCTGGTGATGATCCTGTTCGTTTCAAACATAGTAAATAGCTGGGCAAGTGGGTAGCCCAATTCCGATGGCAGCGCAAGCAAAAGTGCGAACAGCACATCCATCAAGTATGCACTCGAAGTTCTTCTCAAGTGCAGACTGTGTTTCAAAAAAGAATCCGCCAATCCGCAAGAATTCTCAGCGATCCGAGATTTCCATTGAAATCTACCCCACTCTGCGTTGAGTTGGGCCATGATTTCGCTCGGCTGTCCTTTGCGTCCTGAAAAGACTGAAAAGCAGATGCCCAAACGATTTGCTTTCTTAAATCAGCCGAGCATCGGTCATCAGGTCATTTCTCTGCAACACTTCAACTTAGACTAGTATGTTGCCGTCGATTCACAATTTTCAGGGTGCAATTTTCCAGAGAGTCGAAGTTGGCCATCCTTTCAGTTTGTCCAAATTGTCAACAGTCACTGCTTGAAAGTAACATTCAGAAAAGCGCATCTCCGTCACAGAAGGTCTTGCGAAAAAGCTGCGGCTCTGTTTTTGTCTGCTCTTGCGGACAAGAGATGCCAGATGATGTAAGCCATCTGAATCAAAGTATCGGTGAACCCAGATTCGAAACTCATACGTTTCGATACCTCTTTGCAGCCAGTCATTCCAAAGAGCACAGTCCATATGAATCCATCACGATGAGCCAATAGTTCCCAGGCCTTTGCCAGACTACTTGTAGACCTTCGCAACAAGAGGTGCGGGGGTGTTTGAAATATCAAATTATGGTCATAGGGGTCTGTTCAATTTGTTAGGCCTTAGGTCAAATTGTTTCCAAGGGGTCCTCATATCATTGCACAAGTGTATCCCGAGGCGGTGATCAGTATGATTCTCGAGCCATGATGAGCCATTTCTTTTTTTGGCGATTGCGGTAGCCTCTGGGACGGAAGTCAGGTGGCACCAATGGGGCTGTCCCAATAGGGTCGAGATAAGAGGAAATAAGAGGAGATGAGAGGAGATGAGACTAGACGAGACAAGATGAGAGGAGATGAGGGATGATGACGACGACGACGCCGACCACCACGACGACGGCGACGACGACTATTATGTATGAATTGAACCGGCGCCAAGAACTTTAGCATAAAGTGCCTTTGCACTTTTGATTCGTTGATTTCGCAGGCGTTTTTTGGGCGAATGGGTGGAGACTTGGAGGATGAACTTGGAGGTTGATCGTTCGTGCACTCAGAACTGGTGTGAAACGAGCTCCATTCGCTGCCCCTCTCAAGCCCCATGGATTTTGTTTCACACGAAGCCTGCATGGCGATTTCAGGCCAGTACACATCAGTAAACCAAGTTCAAAAGCTGAAAACTCACAATTCTTGCATATTTTTTCAAACTGGTTCCTTCCGATGTTACCCTATAGTAAATCCATGTAAATCTACCAGACATCTCCAGGTCAGCCAAAATTCTGCTGAGCGCCATGGACTCCGCGGAGAGCTCTCCAAAGGTGCCGCTGCTACATGCAGATCCGAGACAGGAAGGAATTGGTCAGGCCTGGTGGGCGCTGCGGGTGCTGATTGAATGGGCCAATGGGCTGGGAACAGTGAAGTCAGTGAAGTCGGTGAAGTTTGAATGGTTTTGGACGTGTTGGTTTTGATATGTTTTGATGTTGGTTTCAATATCATAATATGTTTTAATCATTTTGAATCTTGTTACCGACATGTGTTGGCTTTGGATTCGCCAGGCAGCATGGCAACTGGAAGACTGCTTGAGAGATCGCTTGATCTCCTCGTATCCATCCAATTACAAGGCTGGAAACCAGCTGAGTTCTGGGGACATGTTTTTTTTGATCAGATCGATACACACTTTGGCAAACAAGGTGATTTGTTGGAAGGATCTCCATGCTGCGTCCATTTGAACTCCTTGGTGAACAACTTCTTTGCTCCTTTCCCGCTCTTGATTTTTTGGCCAATCCCAATGTTTTCATCGTCTGAATGCCAGGCTAGACAACTTCACTTTGAAGTGGCTCAAGCTGATCTCCAGTATACCAGAGCTTTGACGGTCATGATGCTCCTGACAGTCTTTGAGACACCTCCTTGGTGCGACCAGAGCAACATCTTTGACTGGAAAAGTGGAGAAGAACGGTGCCAAGTCGAAGGAGTTGCCTCGAATCACATCCTCTTGTCCAATGTTTCCTACATCCCACCAGGCGCCAAATAGAGACGGCTGTCCCCTGCAAATTCTGCCTTTTCATAAGGTGGTGAGGAGTTTGATTTAGTTATTTGGGCATATTTTGGTTAGGGGAATAGCTGTGGCTATGGGGGGAATCCTGTGGTTTTCCACAAGTCTTGAGACGGTCAAGAATCCGGAATGTAGGGTCCAGCTGGCCTATGACGGCGCTCAAAAATGGCCCAACATAGGTGCAACATGCGATGGTTTGTATCTTGAACAAGCCTTTTAAAGAGAACTTTAAAGCTTTCTTTCATGCTGATTCATGCCTTTTCCCGTGCAGCAGCTACTTTTGTCGTCTCATTCGATACTTGAATCTTGAATATCTTGAACACCAGAAGCACTTTGTAAATAAGCCCCGATCCAACAAATTTGGGCGTTGTAAAAACTCCTGCAGTAAAACCCTATGTTCTATACATCATTACTTAGTCTGCGTAGCGTTGGTTCAAAACAGTCCCAGCTGCTTACCGGTTTATTCGCCCCATTGTTATTACAGTAATATTGTTGGCTGACCTGGTAAAATACAGGTTATCAGCCGTAGTCTCACCACTAAGCCATGGGGACCCCAGCCAACCTCTCACTCGCCATCCCAGGGTCAGGTCCACCCGTCGCTGTACCAGACTCAGCCGGGAGTAATGCCGTGCCAATGGATGATGACACAATCTTTCAGCCAGTAGTAGCTTACTTCATGTTCATACAAAACAGCATTACACAGATCACCAGTGGTAACACGCTGCAGGTGACGAGGAAGGCTGAACAAAAGCACCTTCAGATCACGCAAGGAGTTGTAGAGACTTTCAAAGAAACGTGGTCCAACAAGCTTGTCCAAAAGGAACAGGAGTATGAACAGAAGTTGCAAGAAGTAGAGTCAAAAGCTCTAGCTGCGCCAGCTGAGGCACGGAAGCGAGGTGATGAATTCGAGGTCAGGTTGAATCAGGCTCAGGCAGCACATGATGCCAAGGTTGAGGAGTTCAAAGCAGAGGCAAATGCCAAGCACAACCTCAAAATTGAGGAAGAGCGGCGACGTATCACCAGAGACTTTTCAGCCTTGTAAGCGCAGACTGTTGAAAATGCAAAGAACGCTGTAGCTTCGGCAAAGAAACAGTATGATGATCAGATTGCTGTAGAGCAAGCCCGTTAAGTTCAGTTGAAAGTAGAGTTCGGAAACTACAAACGGGAAACATCAGACAGACTAAATGAAGCAGCAGCTCAGAATCTTAGCCTTCAGGACCAAATAGATGATTTGCAAGAGCAGCTGAGTCTCGTCGCCAAAGTGCCATCAGCCGCACCAGTACTGTAAGAAGCACCCGGAGCATCAGCCAGTAAGGTCGAAGGCGAGCCAATGGTCGAAATTAAGACGCCCGCAGTGTTGGCACAAGAGGCAAAGGCAAAGCTTGATGAATTGCTTAGAGGAAGCAGCGAAGCCGAGCCAGCTGTCGGTCCAACCGAGCCAATCAGAACACCCCCAAATGATTCCCCGAAAAGTGTTGGTAAGCAACAACAGATGATGGGAGCTTCAGATTTTGTAGAATTGGTGAAAGCCTTAACCCAAACCAAAGACCAAAGAAGCTGAAGTCATCAAGTTGAATAATATGCCTGCACCGGAGTCGTATCGAAACTGGAAGAGCCATGTCAGGGATGAAGTCAAGAGCTTCTCAGATTGTCCAGATGAGGCTTGGGCTTGGCTGAACGAGGTGTATGACCAGTCATGCACCCGTGACAAGCTTGAAGAGAAGCTTCAAGATCCAGGTAAGTTTCTCACGCTGGACACAAAGCTATCAGCCGCGCTCACGCGCTTGGCTGGTGGAGATCTTGCTACCAGGATATTGAACTACAAAGAGCAGCAATCCCGAAAAGGTATCCAGGTGAGGGGTAGATATAATATGCTCATGTTTGAGGACTACTTCAAAACATCACAAAAAGCAGGTAGCCTTTACAGAGTTGAAGATCTGCTGGGTGTCGTCACAAGTAGGTGACACAGTCCAGGAGACTTGAGAAGATTTGTCAACAAGTGGGATGCCACGCTAGCAAGTATGGCAACTACCCCCGAAGATGTTGTTCTTAGAGACATCTTTTTAAGGCAAATTCTGCCAAGTCAGTTGCTGAAATATGACATTGAGGTATTTGATCGTGCTAGCAAAAAGGCCTATGACAAGTCATATAGTTTTCTCCATCATTCCATGAAGAGCCTGATTGACAGGGAACGGCTCAGCAAAAACCGTAATCGCATTGCCGAGAAGAACAAGGCCGGTGGTCCTAAGGACACGAAAGCTGCGCCCGCCAAAGGTGATGGTCACGGCAAGTTCCTCAAGTTGAGGTAGGTCCCAAGACGGGAACAAGGGTGACAAAGTTTGCTACAAGTTCCAAAAGGATCAGTGTGAGGGGAAGAAGTGTCCATTCAAGCATGTGAAGGATGACAAAGCACGTACTCAATCACCCTATTCCATCACCCAACAAGAGAAATAGAACTCGCTCACCCTCAAAAGGTAAAAGGGATGATAAGGGAAAAGCATGTCAAAGGAAGAAATGGCAAAGACGCCGTGCATGTATCATGCCCAAGGCACATGCAGACGCGGTGACAAGTGCTTCTATAAGCATGATGACAAAGCTGCAGCCGCCACTAAGGATACGAAGCGGACAAACTCCCCCAGCTCCAAAGAAGAAGGGGAAGGTTTCAAACGCCGCGCCATGTCTGATTGGCCCCAATCCGAAGTATGCATGCATTGCAAAGAAACAGCCGAGGGTAACCTCCAGGTCTGATGGGTCCAGTGTTAGCATGAAGGGTGTCCGATTCCGTAGAAATCCTTCAGGTGTTCGAAGTGAATGCAGTCGGTCGTCAAGTCCCCGTCAGACATCGTCCTAGAGAGTTCTCAACTGTGTACAGAACATCCGATGACGTTCCTGTCCCATCCAAGGTTGAACAGCATGAAGCGCAGGTGAGAGCACGTCAGCTCCAGGAAACTGTGAAGCTTCATGATTCCGATGTCGCACCAGGCTGTGGGCTTTGTTGTTGGAATGACGACGCTGGTGACATCACGTGTAAAGAATATAGATTTGCCAGCGGGCCTAAAGCACTCAGAGAGGTTGGCCAGTTTCCATCGATTGCCACAGCTGCACCAAAGGCCGGTGTAAGTTGGTTGGCAGACTCAAGTAGTGAATCCGACCTCGTCTCCAAAGGTATGCTGAGGGATGTCAACGCCCAGAACTGCAGAGCTGCTATAGAAAAACATCGACCGAAATTCAGAGAACTTGTCAAAGAGAAGATCAAGGAACTTGAGTTCGAAAATGCATTCGAGCTCTTCGCATCCGTTGCTAGGTTAGTATCAAGAGATGAAGTTGCCAGCAACCCCAAAGCAAAAGCTGCTCTTGATAAAGAATGGGATAACCTTGGAAATAAGGGTGTTTGGGATGAGAAGTGCGTCCGTGAATGCCGTGACATTGTAGCTGAAGCTCGTCGCGAAGGCAAAACAGTTCACTTGGGATGGATCTTCGAAGCATGTTATGAGAAAGGATCGGAGCTTCCAGAATCAGATCCTCTTCGGAAGTTCAAAGGCAGAACAGTATTTCAGGGTAATAACGTTCGTGATGAGAACTCGGACCATGCACTCTTCAATGAGTTGTGCTTCTCTCCAGCGTGGATGGAAGCAGCAAAGCTGTTAGATGCATTCGGTAGCCAACTGGGATTCTTCTCCAAAGCCCAAGCGGACGCCATCCAAGCCTACATACAAGCCCTCTTTACAGGGGTGCCCACATGGTTATCACTGCCCCAAAATCGATGGCCCAAAGATTGGGAAAAGAAGTATTTGCAACCCATGGTGCCCATGTTGCTTGCTTTGTATGGTCAGCCTGATAGTGAGGGAATTTGGGAACAACATCTCAATAGCCGTTTGGTCAAGCAAGGATGGAAACAATTTTTACCTGACATTTGGCAGTCAATCTTTCATCATCAAGAACTCAATTGTCTTTTGGTCGTGTACGTTGGCGATTTTAAACTGGCTGGGCCGACCGGGAACATGGCAAACGCAGGGGCTAGTATCAAGTCAGCCGTCGATATCGGCGAGCCAGGGCCGTCTGATTGATACTTTGGAAGCTCGAAGTCCAGAGAGGTTTTGTCAGGTCGTACTTCATGGAAAATCACCTGCCTGAGTACGAGTACACCATGGTCGTGAATGATGATGGTGAAGAAGTTCCTGGGATCCTCTTCGACGGTGCGTGCTATGAGCTGGAGCTCATCACTGCAAGCGATGTCAGCGATATAGTGAAATGCCTCAGAGTGGAGAAGAGATTCAGTGACTACGCCACCAGGATCAACAAGGTGTGTCGCGGGACGGCAAGTTGTCAAGGTGTTCCGATGGATCGTAGTCTTTAAATCGATCTTGAAGACTTTGCCAAAGCCTTCCGCAAGGAAGTGCCGCCCAACGTCAAGTGCACCGTGAACAATCTCTCCGCCACGGCAATCAAGCAGGACAAGTTCGGGAAGAGCCGCTTCGAGTTTCAGTGCGCTCGCGTCCAAGACTTACTTGCCTTTCCAGAACCACTTGCAAAGCGACCTCGTCCCGTTGAAGATCTGCGCCATCCAGGGCCACTCCAAAGCTGCACTTGAGAAGGCTGGAGGTTTGTTCGCAAACGCAGCTCAAGTCTATTGCGCGGAGAAGGTCAGCCCTGAGAGAAAAGCCGCCTTTGCAGGCGTGCCCATTTGCCCATTGAGTGATGTTCCGAAGGTGGCAAGTCATCGCACCATGCGTAGCCACTGGAACCTGGAGGAAGTGATTCGGTCAACTCTGGGCGGGCCCATGTCTACTTGTCTGACAAGCACTTTGGAGCAGATGGGCATCGCAGCGGGTTGAGGGGCAAGTGTCCAGTAGAGGTGAAAGTCGCTCTTGCTCAGGCTGTCGAGGCAGGTGTGATTTTTAGCTGCTCCACAATGGAAGGGATCATGGCCGCAGAGCGTGTGCCAAGCCAATTTATCACCTCCATCATGGAGGATGATAAAATGTTGTGGAATCGAGCCGATAGCAATATCGAGCCCAGCTCTTGCACCCTGATGCGCCGCCAAGCACACTAAGAACATCTTCCAGAAAATGGGACCAGTCCGATGTCCACCACAGCGCTGAGGCGCAACGTGACCAGCCACCTGCGAGGGTGCGCCGGGCATTTGTAGCTCCAGCACCTTTCACAGGCGATTGCCCTGTGTGTATGGTGGAATATTTGAGCGGGTGGAATATTTGAGCGGACAACAGGGCTGGCTGAGTATTATGGTATCCATGGCTCCAAAAATGTCTCGCTGCTAGCCGTCATCACAGACGAGCAGGCTGACGCTTTGAGGAGGCCTCTGTCCTGAAAGATGCAAAGGATCGCTACAAAAGAGCGAAAGCACTTGGTGGAAGATCTCTACCACAGTTGAGGACCCTTACCGGCTGGCGTTACTGCCAATGCCGGGTACGAGCGCCTCCTCACAAAGCTCATCTACAATGAGTCAGCCTGCTGGAGTTGATGGCTTTCCCGTGGAATACAGATCTACGTGGATGAAGGTGTGGGGCTTCATGTTTGGAAGGCATGTGTTCACTGAGGCAGAGTACATCCAATACGTCAAAAAGGATCGCTCTCCTCGGCAGCTTCTCACATGGACGGGAGTCGTGTCAGTTCCTGTGAACGGCATCGAGAACTTCCTTGAGGACACCTATGAAGGGAAAAGTCCATTGGTGATCAAAAACATTGACCGCAAGGAGAAGCAAAGCCAGGTTGCGAAGAAGCGCAAAGCTGATGAAGATGCGCAGAGTGCAGCAGACGCCGCACCCAGCTCCACGCGAGTGGAAGCCTCATCCAGTGCCAGGCCGTTTCTTGAGCCAGAAGTTCCACCGACACCCAAGAGCAAGGCAAGACCATTTCTGGATCCCGAGCCAACATCATCGGCAGCGGCATCCAGCTCAGGTCGCTCTGAAGCTTCGCAATCATGGAGCTACAACAGGGATCACTACAGTGCTTGTCGTGAATGGAGCTGGTGGCAAGGAGCGTGGTACTACAGGGATGAGGCCGGCGGTCGATGGATCCTGTGGCGTCGCTAGATGTAGATGTAGTTGTTTTCAAGATGCGGCATGGTATGTTGCCTTCCCTTGCACTGCAGCGTGGGTTTTCAGGCTTGAGCTTTAAAAGGGCTCGTATATATGGCAAATAAGTAGACTAAAAAGCCATATAAACACAAACCGGCCACCTGCAGGGGTGAGCTTGAAATATATGTACAGTCTTGCCGTTGCCCAGCTCGCTTGAGGGGGGTGTAAAAACTCCTTCAGTAAAACCTTATGTTCCATACCATACATCATTACTTACTTTGCGTAGCGTTGGTTCAAAGCAGTCCCAGCTCCGGTTTATTCGCCCCATTGTGATGGTAACATTGCTGGCTGACCTGGCAAAATACAGGTGTGCACGGTTGTTGTTGCGAAGCGACACGATAGATAGATAGATAGATAGATAGATATATATATAATACAATACAAAAATAGAAGATAATAACATATATCATAATAAAACATAGTATAACATAATATAATAAAACATAGTATACTATAATTGAACATAGTATAATATAATATAACATAATATAATGTAATATAAAATAAAGATAATATATATAATACAATATATATATATACTAAATTATAGTAATAATAATAGTAATAATAATAGCAATAATAATAGCAATAATAATAATACTAATAATAATAATAATATATATATTATATGTATATAATATAAAACATATATAAGTTAAATATATAATCTAATAATAATATATTACGAAAGCCAGCCGAAGGCCTGGGCTGAGTATAGGTATAAGCGAAGCGAAGCGAAGCTGATCCGGGGGGGTTGTGGGGGGGGTGGAGGGTCTGATTCGGAAGGTGAGGCCGGAGCCTGGCTGGGGAGAGTTCCAAAAATGAGCTGCCGCCCCCCCGCTTTTTGAAGCTTGAAAGAGAAGCTCCAGTTTGGACACTTTTGGTTGTTTTCTGACGTTTTTCATTGGGTGTCAAAAGCCCAAACACTGTAATTTACAGTGTTTTTGGGCTTGTGGCATGGAAAAAGTACTTCTTGCAACATGCTGAAAACTGCGTAAATACATTGTTTTTGCTAGGTGCCGGCCACAAAACACTGTAAATACCGTGGTTTTTGCTACCAGGAGCAAAAAACACCGTAAATACCGTGGTTTTGGGCTTGCGAGGCGTAAAAAACACGGTATTTACGGTGTTTTTTGCTCCGAGACGCTTCAAAAAACACTAAAACACCACCGAATTGACGAGTTTTGGGCTTCAAAAAATGAACGTTTTTTTGCTTTAGAAATGCCTGTAAAAAAAACATGCAGCAACAACAGCAACAACAACAACAACAATGCGAAAAAACGTGTGTGTGCGAAAAAGGGTCTGTGTGTAAAAGGGTCTGTTTGTAAAAGTGTCTGAGTGTACAAGGGTCTGTCTGTAAAAGTGTTTGTGTGTAAAGGGGTCTGTGAGTAAAAGCATTTCTGTGTAAAGATGTTTGTGTGTAAAAGGCTCTGTGTGAAAAAAACGTTTGTGTGTAAAGGCGTCTGTGTGTGAAAAGGTCTGTGTGCAAACGGGTCTGCATGTAAGAGATGTTTGTGTGTAAAAGGGTCTGTGTGTAAAAGTGTTTGTGTGTAAAAGCGTCTGTGTGTAAAAGGGTCTGTGTGAAAAAACGTGTGTGTGCGTAAAAGGGTCTGTGTGTAAAAGGGTCTGTGTGTAAAAGTGTCTGTGTGTGAAAGGGTCTGTGTGTAAAAGCATTTCTGTGTAAAGATGTTTGTGTGTAAAAGGGTCTGTGTGAAAAAAAAAGTCTGTGTGTAAAGGCGTCTGTGCGTAAAAGGGGTGTGTAAAAGGGTCTGTGTGTAAAAGCGTCTCTGTGTGAAGATGCTCGTATGTAAAAGCGTCTGTGTGTAAAAGTGTTTCTGTGTAAAGATATTTGTGTGTAAAAGGGTCTGTGTGTAAAAGCTTCTGTGTGTAAAAGGGTCTGTGTGTAAAAGCGTCTGTGTGTAAAAGCGTCTGTGTGTAAAAGCGTTTGTGTGTAGTGTAAAAGGGTCTGTGTGTAAAAGCGTCTCGGTGTAAAAGCGTCTCTGTGTGAGGAATTGGTGTGTAAAAGGGTCTGTGTGTAAAAGTGTTTCTTGTGTAAAACTGTTTGTGTGTAAAAGGGTCTGTGTGTAAAAGTGTTTGTGTGCAAAAGTGTCTGTGTGTAAAAGGGTCTGTGTGCAAAAGCGTGTGTGTGCGTAAAAGTGTCCGTGTGTAAAAAGGTCTGTGTGTAAAAGGATTTCTGTGCAAAGATGTTTGTGTGTAAAAGGGTCTGTGTGTAAAAGCGTCTGTGTGAAAAAAATTCTGTGTGTAAAAGGGTCTGTGTGTAAAAGCGTCTGTGTGTAAACGTGTCTGTGTGTAAAAGGGTCTGTGTGAAAAAACGTGTGTTTGTGTAAAAGGGTCTGTGTGTAAAAACGTCTCTGTCTAAATATGTTTGTGTGTAAAAGGGTCTGTGTGTAAAAGTGTTTGTGTGTAAAAGCGTCTGTGTTTAAAAGGGTCTGTGTGAAAAACATGTGTGTGCGTACCAGGGTCTGTGTGTAAAAGTGTCTGTGTGTAAAAGTGTCTCTGTGTAAAAGGGTCTGTGTGTAAAAACGCCTCTGTGTAAAGATGTTTGTGTGTAAAAGGGTCTGTGTGTAAAAGTGTTTGTAAACGGCCAGCAGCGAAGAATTGATCTCTGTGGTGCGCAGCTCTCAGATGCAACACACAGAGAATAAAACGCAAAAAAAAAACGCCGCCTGAGCATTTGTTTGGAGGCTGGCTTTCGTCCCCCCCCTTCTCAGGTATATTTGTTGCGTGCACTTTCCAGATTCGAGATGGGACTATGTTGGTATCTTGTGATATTTGAACCACAACATACTGCACATAAAGGGAACTCTAAACCGATGCAGTTTGATAGCTTGTGTTTCTTGCGTTTGACTTCAATTTGAACATCTTTGAGACTGGGATTTTGCTGATCCAGGATATACATGGTGGATCATCCCTCCGCCAGGTTGGAGCCTCCTCATTGAGGCAGTGATCCTTTTTGTGATCGCCAGGAAACTACTGCTGGAAAGGATGCTGCAGGTTGGGTGACGCGGCGCGTCAGCTGGGCCCTGTGATTATGTTTTGAGATCCCCCGAAATGAGGGTTTTTGCAGAGATTGCTGGTGTTGTTTTGCCATTTTCGAGGAAATTTACCTACCTCACTTGGAAAATGCGACCAAGTGGGGACAATTACACCAAATTTTCCAGTGAACGCAGAACTTATCTATGTCCGTCTGAAGACAAGATGGCCCCTCCATCGTTTGCAGGTGCGCTATTTCAAGCCCATCAATGTAGGCTATCATAGCTTGCCCGTGATCCGATTCGGACTGGTGATGTGCTTGTGGAAACTGGCCGATATGTTGCTGGTTGGTGGTTTTGAATATTTTTTTCAATTCCGAAAAAACGGAATGATGATCCGCCAATTGACCATATACTGTATATGAATACAAGCTTGTGACTGTCATGACCACCGCTCAAGCTCCCTATGCTCGAGGGTGTCTTCAGGTTGGTCCCTGTCCTTCTCCAAGGTGCCAGAACCAACTACTTCGGCTGGGGCTGCCCCACCTACTGCTCTGAGCCCACCTGGTCTGTCTTGATTTTGGTCTTTCTGGTGGGTCTCATCAGTGGTATTTGTCTGGCCCTTCTTGGACTTTGGACTTTGTGGCCTCTCCTTCTTCCACCATTGTCTTCTCTCGCCTCTGTCCCTCCTGATCTTCACGCCAGTCCCAACCGGCATTCTGCGCTAGTTGGGTACTTGGATGCCCAGAGGTTCTCAAGACGACGGCAACGTTGAGCTGGTTTGTTCCGTGGGGGACCTGCGAATCACTATTCAGGGGCCATCAGCTTCGGCAGCTTCCTTCCTCCAGAAAGTCTTGGCCTTGGGTGAGAGAGCTCCTCGTGCTGCTTCTCCTTCAGCTTCTGACATATCATTTGATTTGGTATCAGCTGGGGGCAACCCTGAGCCTGTGGATCCTGTGCCAGTACCTCGTCAGGAAACAAGGAGTGAGATCGAAGCATCTTTCTCCAGCTGTCCTCAAAGGTTTTTGGACTTATCTGCAAAGTTATCAGGTTCCTCACTGTCGTCTGAAGAGAGGATCAAAAGAGCCTGGAAGGCAGGTCAGTGGGCTCAGGCGGTTTCTTTGGGCCGCGTACGTTCTCCAAATCGTACGGCTCAGTTGGACCTACGCCCACGAGTCTACGCTGTGGTCCGGGCCACTGGAATTGAGTCCCCGACCCTTTGCAGGTCCGCTGGGGCCTATTGGGAGATCGTCGGAGATCTCACCACTTCCAGCAGCATCACTCACGGTTTCCCGTCTGAGTTGGAGGCCAAGATCTACTTTGCAGGGGCTGGCATCTCTGAGTACCAGACCAGGGCCTAATCATGATGGACTCTCTGGATGCGGGGATCACTATGGACAACATCATCCATCCCTGCCGTGGAAGCCATAAAGCCCTACGTGCTGTCGTGGCCTCTCACGGACGAGGAGGAGGATGGAGAAGCAGAGACAACAGTTTTGGCAGTTATGAGGCGAGAAGGTGGAATCCTTTTGGCCCTGCCCGCGATGTTTCTTCCACAGCGGCTGGTGGATGCTGGGAATGCAGAGGACAGCGACGGCATCTTTGGACCTTCCTTTGTGACCGAGGTCCCTGCCTCCATCGTAGATGGCGGTGTGGTGTCGCCTACTGGAACCAATGTAGAAGTTCTCATCATCGACTGCAAGCCCGAGGTTCTATGTCATATGAGAGAGTTTGGCATCCAGGAAGACATTGTTTACAATTTCGACGAGGATTCTCCATTTGCTTTTCCCATCGTCGATGCCATGCTTCCAATGATCTCCGAGTGGGCCTCCAGAGCTCACGATATGAGAGCAGGGTTTTACACTCCAGAGGATGCAGTGGAAGAAGATCAGGCCCCAAGAACACCACGCCCCAGAAGGCAGCCTCCAGGAAAGGCTACTCCTTTAGGCGCTGGTGCCAAACCAAAGCGGGTCACCACAGCGTCTTTGGCAGCAGACATGCAAGGGCTCATGTCCACTCTTCCTCAGATCTCCCAGCAACTGAGCCAGATCTCCGAGAGACAGGCCCTTTTGGAGCAGAGGATTGCCGTTCCTGGGAAGGCTTCAGCTTTGGGGCTTGGACAGACGTTGAGTGGCACGCTGACCGCCCATCCTCCTCCTGTCTCAGAGTTGGCAAGAAGTCTCCGTCCTCCGCCACGGACGCAGGCGAAGGCGAACCTTGGTTTGTTGGCTTCGTCAGATGCAGCGAAGCCCAAGGAACTTTTGGCTTTGGAATCAGAGAAGCTGGCAACAGAGACAGAGTCCGGCCTGAGTTCAGACAGTGTATTGGCCAAGGCAGTTTTGGCACAAAGTCAGGCCCTTACAACTCTTGTGGCGCAGATTGCTTCGGCTCAGAACGACCCCATGGCAGAGCTCACGGGCAGTTCAGCTTCCTCCAGCACAAGGGGGGCAGCTACCAGAGCAAAGCTCCAGCTGGAACTAGCTCAGCATCGTGGCACCTTCTTCCAGAGCGTGATGCAGAGCATGAGCAGACGCATGGCCCCGACAAGCAACCCTTGTGCTTCAGCGGAGGAGCTGCTCAACAGGGGGGTTTCAGGTGTGAGATACCTAGAGAGATTTGGGGGCTACGGCCGTGTTCGGGAGTTGGGTCAGTTGCAGTATCAAGTCATGATGATTTTCGACTTTTTGATGGCCGAGAACTACATGGCTGCCATGGACGGAGTGGCTCTCTTGGCAGTGTCCCTAGAGCAGGCGAGCCTCGACGGGGGCAGAATGGAGCTGGCGACTTTGCTTTGCCTACAGGAAGACGCTCCAGCAAGCATCTTCGTCAATCGCCAGTTGTCATCAACCTCCAGGGCGCGCTCTTTCGCGCCTTTAGCGGATCAACGTTGGGTGACATGTGCTCTGGCATTTCTGAAAGAAATGGAGGTGATAGCGGCCAAACGGAGCGAGATGAACTCCGGCTCCAAGTTCCCTTCAGAAGCTTCGCAAGACTCAGCTGCAGGCCACGCTGCAGCGAAACCAAAAGCGAAGGGCCAGCCCAAGAAAAAGGGAAAGGGAAAAGGGGCACAAGAACGACAGGAAGAGACCGACGCCTAGCAGATGTCTGGCGTTCAAAGCATGGAGAGCGAATTCAGGAGTCAAGGGGGCAGGAGTCAAATCCCTTGCGCTCCAAACTTGATTTTTGCACCTGGGCCTTTTGTTTGCCAAGGTGGCTTTTGAGGTGCCGTACAAGTTTCTCTTGGCACCTTTGGCGATCTTTCACTGCAACCTGGCGCTTGTCTTCCTTGGCGTCAACCACAGCTTTTCCCCTGCCTGCTCCTCACCCAGGGTGTTTTGACGGTAGTGGCCTCAAGTTGTCGAAGAGCCAGCGATTGAAGGTTTCCCAGCAGAGACTGCTTCATGTTTTGGTCTTTGCTATGGACTTTCTCTACCTTGGCAGGTTCCCTAGCTTCGCAGAGCTTGAGAGGCGTCCCAACAAGTTGCAGCTGAGCGTTTTTGCGAGGCTGAGGGCGCTCATAGCTGTGTGTGCTGACAGCACTGAAGAGTTTGATGCTGTCCCAGGCCGCTCGGGCCCTGAATTGGCTGCTGCCCTTTTGCATTTGGAGAGGTTTTTCGATCTCCACCCTGAGCTGAGCCAAAGCTATGTTCAGCACAAGCCTGCTGTTTTCAGCGAGGACAAACAGCTTTTGCCAAAGGATGAGTACCCTGAATTGATCCCCTACAGGGCGCTCGATGCTTCCAGGCTGAAGCTCATTGGAAAGGGGAAGTGGCCTATGGCTGATCATTTGGATGGACCCCTTTGGCTCCCATTTCAGGAGCCTAGATTCCTTCTCCATGGTGACCGTGATGACCCTTCTGTTTGGCCATCTTTTGCAAGTGAGAGCCGAGATGAGAATTTGAAGCTGGCGAAGGTTTGGGATGCTAGAGGTCTGCTGAGGCTTTACAAGAGACCTTGCATGAAGGACCATTTCTGCAAAGTTTTCAATTGCTACAAGAACGTTTTTACGGACAGGCAGATTGGAGACCGACGCATCCCAAACTCTCGAGAGAGGGCAATTGATGGGCCTTCACACCACCTTCCTCCTGGTTTTCTCCTTACAAATTTGCGGATCGAGCCATATGAAGAATGCCTGGTTGGGTCTATCACTGACCGTAGAGATTTTTATCACCAGGCAAAAGTCACTGATGAGAGAGCGAGGAGCAATTTGCTATCCTTTTCATTTGCTGAGGAGGACTTGGCCTGCACTGATGCCTGGGAGAGTCGTGAGCATGAGAACCCAAAGAAAAAGGCAAGAGAGGTTGTTGGCGATGGTTTTGAGATTTCCGGCAGTAGCAGTTTTGAGCATGCTGCCAAGGAGGGAATGTGGTACCCTGCTTTTGGTTCGCTTTTTCAAGGTGATCATCTTGGAGTTGAGTTTGCGCTGAAGGCTCATGAGGATGTTTTGCAGAAGGGTGGACTTTTGAAGCCTCATCGTAGACTGCAGGGACATGCGCTTTTCCCCCTTGGAAAGTCTTTTGAGGGCCTTATCATTGATGACTACTTTGCCATTGGATGTGAGCCCATTGACCATGACCCTGTCAATACCTTTGCTGCCAAAGCTCTTTCTGCGGCTCGAGAGGTTTACAGTGCTGCCGGGCTAGAAGGCTCAGCTGAGAAGGATGTTGAGGCAGAAACCACTTTCAAAGCTGCCGGTGCTGAAATTGTCTCAAGTAGGTCAGCTGTTCGAAGAGGAGTCACAACGGTTGGAGCCCCTCTAGCAAAACGTCTTGCTCTTTCAGCTTTGACTTTGCGAGCTGCAAAGCTCAACATGATCACTGCGAAGCTGGCTTCTCGTTTGGCTGGGAGTTGGACGTCTGTTTTGCTTTACCGGCGTTGTTTGACTGCTGCAGTTGATGGTTTCTTTCAGTTAGCAGCGGAAGCTGAAGCATCAGGGAAAAATGCAGCCTTGCCTTTGCCACGGAAAGTTGCACAGGAGCTCAGTATTTTGGCCGCCTGTGTACCTTTAGCAACTTCAAACATTGCCATCAAGTACAGCCCCACCATCTATGCATCAGATGCTTCGCTTGGATTGGGAGCCGTCGTTTCAGCTGAGGTTGATGAGAGTTTGGTTGAAGTGCTTTGGCTTGGTAGTGACAAAAAGGGCTGCTACACAAGGCTCGACGGGCCTGCCTTGGCTATGCTTGCTGCAGCGGGTGAGGAAGTCCATGAGGGTTACGACCTTCCTTTGCCAGAGCTTGGACCTTCAAAGGGCCTGCTTATGTACTATGACTTTGTGGAGTTCTTCGGTGGGTCAGGGCGAGTCTCTAAGTGCATGGCTGATTTGGGCTTCACTGTTGCTCCATGTCTTGACCTGACTGCATCAAAGCACTACGACATGACTGATGTAAGGCTCCTGGAGTGGTGCCTACACATGATTGAGCAAGGTCGTTTCAGGTCCTTCCTGACAGAGCCCCCTTGCACAACGTTCAGCCCAGCGGCATACCCTGCAGTCAGATCTTATCTTTTGCCTGAAGGTTTTGACCGCAGTTGTCCAAAGACCTGGCTGGGAAACATGTTGGCCTTTCGCTCCTTTGTCCTCTTGCGTCATGGTTTGAGGTTCAGAAGACCTTGTGGCAAGGAGCAGCCACGCAGAAGCAAAATGGCCTGGATGCAAGCTTGGCTGGCACTTTTGAGGCTTGGCTTCAGGCAAGCGGTCATAGCCTCCTGTCAATTTGGCTCGCCCCACAAGAAGGAGTTCGTTTTGCTGCTGTATGGTTTGGACGTTGAACGTTTGGAGGTGAAGTGTCCTGGTGGCCACAGTCATGTCAAAATTCAGGGCTCTTTGACAAAAGGAAGCGCAGTCTACACTTGGCCCCTTGCTGCGCATATTGCAGCTGAGTTTGGCAGAGCCCTCAAGAGGGTCCAGCTTCTTGAAAGTGATCAGCCTCAAGTTGATGGTCATGAGAGCGTTGTTGTGAATGACCTGCTGCAGACAGCCTCATGGAAGGAGGAGAAGAGCTGGTATTGGAAGAGGAAGAGCCACATAAATGTCTTGGAAGCTCATTCAGGCATTGGGGTCCTCACCACAGCAGCAGAGAAACAGCCTGACAGCAGATTCCTTGGACTTTTGGATTCACGGGTCGCAAAAGGTGCCCTGGCAAAGGGACGCAGCTCTTCACTTGGCCTTCAAAGAGCTTGCAAGCGGAGTGCAGCCATCCAGGTTTGTTTTGGACTTTACCCTGGGTGGTCGTTTGCACCGACCCGTTTGAATGTTGCTGATGACCCAACGCGTCGAGTTAGACTTCGGCAGTCTTCGGGCCAGTCACTTATTCCACATCTTGACAAGTCTCAGCTGCAGCTAATGCATTCGAAGCATCTATCGCGTTGGGCTGCAAATTGGATCAGGTTGTATCTGCTGCTGCTCGTCCTCCCTGGGCCAGCTTCGGCGGAATGCATAGATGGAAGAGCAGTGTGCAGAGAGTCATTTTATTTTTGGTTCCCCAGTCATTTTTCAGAGGGATTTGAGGAGCAACAGAGAGAAGGATGGAGTTTTGAGGAGGTCCACGATTCCAGCTGGGAGGAGGTCCATGATTCATCTCGATCGGCTTCTCCTCAAGCCTGCTCCAAGACCCTCAGCCTCTTCAATGATTGGATTTCCACTGCCTTGACTCTTGCCTCTGCCTTCGGTTCTGCAGTCTCTTCTGATCGGGGTCTGGTCTCAGTCTGTCATTGGATTTTGGAATTTGGATTTCTCTGTCAGGTACTGGCACCTTTCGTCTGGTTTGTCGTCCTCTCCTTTCCCTCCTGGTCTTGTCCAGTAGGTAGGAAAGCCCCACTTAGATCTCTGTGGATTTTGGTAGGTTTTAGTTTTGCTGAAGCCATGGTACCTCAGACTGCGGTTGAGCGTGGGAGAGCTGAAAGGCGTGAGGGGACAAATCTGATTGCAACTAGGGTTGCAAGGAAGGACACACTGGACCGCAGAGCAAAGCTGCTTTCTGACTTCAGAGCATGGCTGTACCAGACTCACGAGGTTTACCTGTCACAGCTGCTTACTGCAAAACCTCCAGATGCGGAAGAAATCAGTAGGTGGCTCACTCTCTATGGACAGGAGATGTTTTTGGCAGGGAAGTCTTATGGCAAGTTTGCTGAGACAATCAACGCAGTGGCGGCCGCAAGGCCAATTGTGAGGAAACAGCTTGTGGGCGCTTGGGATCTTGCTTTTGCTTGGTTGGTTGACGAGCCGACTGAGCATCACCCCGCACTTCCATTGTCCATCCTCCTTGCAATGCTGTCATTAGCACTCATGTGGGGTTGGCCATTGGAAGCGGGTGTGATCAGTTTGGCATGGTGTGGAATCTTGAGGGTTGGAGAAGTGTTATTGGCAGATAGGTCTGATTTGATCCTCCCGTGCGATGCGGCACCGGGGACCCTTTTCGGCCTCCTCAGAATCAAGACACCGAAAACCCGTGGAAGAGCAGCTCGTCACCAAGCTGCTCGTATAGATCCACCAGACATTCTGATGCTTTTGACAGCAATTTACAACGGTTTCCCAGCGAGCTCAAAGTTGTGGCCTTACTCAGCAGAAACTTTGAGGAAACGTTTCAATCATCTGCTGGCAGCACTTGGGCTTCAAACTGAAAGGTCAAAAGGCAGGCGGCCTTTTAACCTGGGTTCGTTACGCCCTGGGGGTGCGACGCACTTGTTGTTGGCCTCTGAGGATTCCGAGTTGGTCCGGAGAAGGGGCAGATGGGTCACTTCCCGGGTGATGGAAATTTACCTCCAGGAGATCATGTACACAACATATGCTGAGAAGCTTGACAGACACACCCGTACTCAGGTGTTGCAATTGGCTGGAAACTTTTCGAAGATTCTGAATACGGCTGTTGGCTTTCTCAACTGTGCAGTCCCCCCACAAACTTGGTGGTCGTTATTCCAGGCCAGCGACGGCGAGGAGCTTGGAGAGGCAGGGAGTGATGGTGTGAAATAGCCAGCTTTTGGAACAACAAACGTCCCTGCTGGCGGTGGAACTCTGTATGGTGCAGTGGAAAATGGAAGGATGCATGCTTGAATACAAGCTTGTGACTGTCATGACCACCGCTCAAGCTCCCCCATCCCATTGTTTTTCAAACCCCGCCCTTGTCACCTGTCCTGGCCTGGGGTGTGAAATAGCCAGCTTTTGGAACAACAAACGTTCCTGCTGGCGGTGGAACTCTGTATGGCGCAGTGGAAAATGGAAGGATGCATGCTTATATATATATATATTATCATGTTTATTTGACCCTAGCGCATATGTTTCATTTTTTAAAGGAGGTGGCTCCAACACCAATCAGGTTGGTTTATGTCATCTTCTGGCCCAGCTTTCGGACGGCCTTCATTGCGCGGACGGGTTTCTTGATCATGTTGCCCTCTGTGCGAAGGTTGGGACACTGTGTGATGTCGGTGATTGGTGAGTTTGTTTCCATTGCAGTGACCTGGATTTGCTCTATGTTTTTTTTTCTCGTTGGTTAATCCACCAGTTGGGGAATCCTAGGGGAGGTTGTTCATTTTTTATGGCCAGAATAAGCAAATCCAAGGTGATCTATGTTGGCACCGTCATTTTTTTCGCTTGGGTCTTTGTGACGATCTTTGATGATATGGAAGAGGTCGTGAATGGCAAGCCTGTGAACAAGGGTTTGGACTCCTTCAGCAGGTCCTGAAAATTGGCGTATGCCTAAAACATGCCCCAAACATTCCCCAAACGTTGCAGACAACACCATTTTTAGTACAATGAATGTAATAAGAGTCTGTACAGAATACTGTATTTATCTACACAAACTTCAAAAGAAATCAACATGATTATATAGATGGAATTGAACATCAACTCAGATCTACCGGCACGGTGAGAGATTGCTTTTCAGTGTGCTTTGTTGGGACCAAAGAAGAGGGTAAGTGGCTTGGCCACAGATTTTCTGTGGGACAGCTTGACAGGCCTTTTCAGTATACTGCACTCAGGCTTTCCGATTAACCTGCCTGATACATCCGTGATTCATCAACCTTGAACGGATTTCAATTTCTTGACCCTCCTTCCATATTTCAGTGGGGGGGTTGGTTTTGGTGCTCCAACAGCTTTTATTTGGGCCTGAGATGCAGGTCCTTGAACACCATCTTCATTGCTGGATCCACAGATGACTTCGTGGACTGCCTTCTTCCGTCATACACATCGTACAGAAACTCTGGCACTCGGAAGTTTTGTTTTTTCCATTTCTGGATCTGCCCAAGATGTACACCTTCCAGTCGGAAATCTTAATTTCACTGTGCTTGAATTCCTCCGAGTCCTGAGGAAGTAGTGGAATCCTCTGGCTGGTTTTCCTGGTCATTGTGCACGTCTTGCTTCTGAACCTGGTCTTGGACACTTTAGTGGCCGCCTACACCAAGTATTCCGAGGAACAGGAGGAGGAAGTCCTTGAAGAGAAGGTCCAGGGCATCCTGAACGTCTTCAGGACGGTCTCCAGGGTCACTGGCTCCAGGTTCATCACCCGGCAGACCTTCATGGATTTCTGCGAGGTGCCTGTACCGAGGGGATCCGAAACGCCGTGGTTTCCTAGTTTCCCTCATTAACTTTGGGGACAGCCCTGGCTTCTATTATGGCCTGGCAATGCGTATCGTCTCACCGATTGGCAGGGATACCTAATATGGATCCATTTTCTTTTGCACCCTTCACCAATGAATTGATGTTTTTAGTTGTTTTTAGTGAACCCGTTCAAGCAGCTTGTGCATTGCCAAGAGGGAAGGCTGGAAGAAACTGATGCATTCACTGAGGAATTTAGTCGATCTCCAGCGGTCAGACCGATTGGTGAGGAAACTGCGGATATCATGTTCACAACCATGGAAGCTTGGGCTGAGAAGTTTGATACTAACAGATGTGGGGATACAGGGATATCCAAAAGTACCAGTTTGTTTTGTATGTATCAGCTTTATCATCTGACAATGGAGCCAAGTTTGGGTCCAGAGTCCAGTGGTCCAGTCATGTAGATCTCTGAGGATGCTGATGGTAGCGATGAACTCGAGCAAGACGAGTTCTTCGGAATTTGTGGTGTGATTCAGTACGATTTCTGGGCCGTGGTCACAGACTCGCCAGTGCGGCAGGTGTTCCCCGGCTTTTGGGAAAGCAAAGGCTTCACCTACTTCAGAAATCAGGTGGCAACTCTGCATAAAGAAAGTTTTTCTTGAGGATCCCGAACCAAACTACTGAAAAACCTACTAAAGGAGAAAGATGCCACGGGCTGTGGGTACTTTTTGCATGTGACCCTAAGGTGTACAGTGGAAACTTTGACACGTTGATGAATTACGTGCTTTTGTTGAACCTCTTGTTGGTAGTGTCTGAGACGGCCTACGACCTCAATGGATGGGAAGAAGCAAAGCTCATGGAACATTTGGAACTCTTTTTCTCCTTCATCTATGTGACCGAAGTGGGGCTCACCCTCTGCGTCTATTCCTGGGGTCAGTACTGGAGTTCGCGGTCGAATCAATTTGACTTCATGACGACTTGGCTACTGCTGGGTTCATCAGTTGGTTACGAGTTGGTTGATACCAAAGGAATGAATGTGAAAAAATACATGAACATCCTGCGACTTCTGCGACTACTGAGAGTTGTGAAGCAGTTGAAGAGGCTAAATGCAGTGCAATTCATGATCCTCGGCCAAAACAAGTGCTGGTTTACACCAGGCTTGTGGAAGATCTCCTGACAATTCAACAGCGAGCCTCACTATTTGAGCTTTGAGCCATTCAACATACCCCTGTTGCTATAAAGTTATAACTAGAAACCATTCATCACCCATAGTCTATGAACAGCTATGAACCAATGAGTATTTCATTGCGATGGGAACAACATGGAAAAACATAGGAGAAAAAACAGAGCAAAACAGTGGAGGATTGCGACCATCACCAAGCTGATCATGGCCTCACAAGAAATCCTGATCCTGCTGGGCGTGGTGGTGTTCTTTTTTTCAGCTCTTGGCATGCAGCTCTGGGGAGGCACTTTGTACGCCACACACCCAGCGCTTGAAGGTGCTAGAAAAGGGCCGACGGATTTTTCATCATGGTTGGTTTGGAGTATGATGAGTATGTTTCTCTTAGGAAACTAGAGTTGGTTTCAGCTTGTTTGAAAACTTCACCAAGAAATCTCGCTCCCAAAATGGTGGGATCCAGCTCTGACCCATGAGGCACAGAGTATGAAGAGAAAGATATGTTTGTCTTGAACTTCAACGACTTCCTCATGTCCTTCGCCGTCTGGGTTGTCTTACTTCTATGTGAGTACAAAGATGAGTTCCCTTCAGCTGTTGCAGCCACCAATTCATTGCCTGGGAGCTGGATCATCTTTCTGATCTTTTACATCCTTGGAGTTAGCTCCTTTGATGCAGGGCTGGGGATTCCCTGGGCCGGAAAGGTATGAAGTATGCACCAGAACCACTGTGAAAACGGCTGGTTCTTGCGGTGATGAATGATCTGAGCATTTTAACATATTTTGACACTTTTCAAAAAATATATGGGCCTTGCACGACTCGCAACGGTTTTGTTTGGTGGCGACCATCCTCAGCCCAAGAATGGCCGAGCGAATTGCCGGGCCAATAAGGCATCATTTTCGAATTGGTGAAAGCCTTTACCATTGAAGTTTTCGTGGAGCTTCACAAGCATCGAAACGAGGAAGTCAAGGAATTTCAGGCACCGAGGGCAGTTTTGGTAGTGGCGGGCATTGGAAACATATTGGAAAGAATTGAGGTTTCGAAAAATGGGCACCCCCAAATCATCCATTTGTTCATGGTTTTTCATGGCTTTTCCATTATGAAGCATCCAGCGAACCATCCAGCTATTGGGGTACCCACATGACTATGGAACCCTCCAAAGATGGACGAAGCTTTGGGAACTTGGACGAAGGCCTTGGAGGCGGTGGAGAATGAAGTGAAATCGCGAGGGCAAACCTTGCATTATCGCGTGGTTGGAGACCTGACTCTTCATCAGAAGATGATCCAAGCTTTGGAAGAAATGGAACATGAGATTCATGAAGCACTTGAAAATGGTGATCATTCTCATGCCAATCATGCCAACGGCCATGAAAGTGGCGCGCACCATGCTAACGGTGGCCATGGCAATTCGCATTAGTTAGCTACTAAGTACGGATACCATCGCTTGAAAAAAGGACCTGTGGTTTTCTCTGTGTCAATCTTTTGATGTACTGGTCAATATATGCCTTGCACCCATACAAATCTTCCACACACTACACATATTACATCACGTTCTTCCGCTTGACATCCTGTGCTTCAGATGTTTTCAAGGTCTTCCTGATTCTTTTTGCTGTTTTCTCATTGGTTTGACAGTGGACTGGGTACTATCGCACCTTAATACCCGGAACCAGCATGAATCAGCAATGTAGGCAGCTCCTACCACTCATGTCTATGCCTATGCATTGCATGGGAGCGGAAGACATGGAACATGGTAAATGTATGTAAATATATGTAAATATCAGATCCTTAATACCAGTAGTACCCGCACGAGGCGGGGCGGAAGTTGCCTTAAAGATATATATGAGACCTTTCTCATCTATAGAACTTGCATGCGCCGTGCGCCAGCCAAGCCCGTGCGTGCGTGCACTCTGCGAAAGTTGTGTCCTGCTTCACATGTCACACTTGAAGCCCCACGTCACACTTCACACTTGACAGTCTTCACACTTCAATGCGCTGCCATGCAACATTCATGCAGCCATTCCAATGCGATCATGCAACCAGAGATTCAAGAACCGCATAGAACTACGCACACAGGAACAACCACTCGTTGCAAAACACATAGGAGGAACAATTCGCGCATGAACCGACCCCAGCCGCACCCGTCGCACAGACGAGGTACCTTTCTTCGCCGGCTGCAGTCACTTTACACGGAAAAACACAAGGTTTCGTGCTCCGGCTTCCTCCCCAAAACATAGCCCATGCAACATTCATGCAGCCATTCCAATGCGATCATGCAACCACAGCTTCAAGAACCGCATAGAACTACGCACACAGGAACAACCACTCGTTGCAAAACACATAGGAGGAACAATTCGCGCATGAAACGACCCCAGCCGCACCCGCCGCACAGACGAGGTACCTTTCTTCGCCGGCTGCAGCCACTTTACGCGGAAAAACGCAAGGTTTCGTGCTCCGGCTTCCTCCCCAAAACATTTCCCATGCAACATTCATGCAGCCATTCCAATGCGATCATACAACCAGAGATTCAGGAACCGCATAGAACTACACACACAGGAACCACCATTGTTGCAAAACACATAGGAGGAACAATTCGCGCATGAAACGACCCCAGCCGCACCCGCCGCACAGACGAGGTACCTTTCTTCGCCGGCTGCAGCCACTTTACGCGGAAAAACACAAGGTTTCGTGCTCCGGCTTCCTCCCCAAAACATAGCCCATGCAACATTCATGCAGCCATTCCAATGCGATCTGCAACCACAGCTTCAAGAACCGAATAGAACTACGCACACAGGAACAACCACTCGTTGCAAAACACATAGGAGGAACAATTCGCGCATGAAACGACCCCAGCCGCACCGGTCGCACAGACGAGGTACCTTTCTTCGCCGGCTGCAGCCACTTTACGCGGAAAAACACAAGGTTTCGTGCTCCGGCTTCCTCCCCAAAACATAACCCATGCAACATTCATGCAGCCATTCCAATGCGATCTGCAAAGAACTACGCACACAGGAACAACCACTCGTTGCAAAACACATAGGGGGAACAATTCGCGCATGAAACGACCCCAGCCGCACCCGTCGCACACACGAGGTACCTTTCATCGTCGCATGCAGCCACTTTACACGGAAAAACACAAGGTTTCGTGCCCCGGCTTCCTCCCCAAAACATAGCCCATGCAACATTCATGCAGCCATTACAATGCGATCTGCAACCACAGCTTCAAGAACCGCATAGAACTACGCACACAGGAACAACCACTCGTTGCAAAACACATAGGAGGAACAATTCGCGCATGAAACGACCCCAGCCGCACCGGTCGCACACACGAGGTACCTTTCATCGTCGCCTGCAGCCACTTTCCACGGAAAAACACAAGGTTTCGTGCCCCGGCTTCCTCCCCAAAACATAGCCCATGCAACATTCATGCAGCCATTACAGTGCGATCTGCAACCACAGCTTCAAGAACCGCATAGAACTCCCACGTCCCCACCTCCCTTCCTCACCACTCCCCTGGATCACTTCCCTTCATCACCGCTTCCCTTCCTCACCACTTCCCTTCGTCACCACTTCCCTTCGTCACCACTTCCCTTCGTCACCACTTCCCTTCGTCACCACCTCCCTTCGTCACCACTTCCCTTCGTCACCACTTCCCTTCGTCACCACTTCCCTTCGTCACCACTTCCCTTCGTCACCACTTCCCTTCGTCACCACTCCCCTTCGTCACCACTCCCCTTCATCATCACTTCCCTGCTTCACCACTTCCCTTCGTCACCACTTCCCTTCTCCACCACTTCCCTTCGTCACCACTCCCCTTCATCATCACTTCCCTTCTGTGATCTACCACCCTTCATCAAGGTCAACTGCATAGCTTCTTATTCTTTTGTTATGTATTGTTACATTATGTATTGTTGTGTGATCTACCACCATTCATCAAGGTCCACTGCATAGCTTCTTATTCTTTGTTCTGTATTGTTATGTAGTGTAAAGTCTCACACCACCCTTCATCAAGGTCAAGTCTCACTCGCGCACCACCCTTCAAAGTCAATTCTTTTCTGATGTATTGTTATGCAGTGTAAAGTCTCACACCACCCTTCATCAAGGTCAAGTCTCACTCGCGCACCACCCTTCATCATAGTCAATTCCATCAAGTAAAAGTCATTCGTAACTCGGAAGTATTGCTTCCCAACTTCCTTTGATAACTTACATACACACACACATATATATATATAGATCCTCTTTTCGCTGATGCCCAGTAACGGACTAAACATGGAAAGGATTTTCGAAGAACGATGCGAAGAACTGGCTGTGCTCTTTGCTGAAATACCAGTAGGCCAGGGTGACACACCCCCTGCATTGAACAGCTGCATATTCCTTAAAAGGTGGCCCGTGTGAATTATACTTCCGCAGCAGCATGATTCCTACGTTTGTTTCCCGTGGGGGGCAGGCTCAAAGAAGGCTGGATGACGCCGTTGACCAAAGCGTCAAGGGACAACAGGCTGCCAGTAGCAGCTGAAACATGGCGGCTGCAGCGCACGAAGTAGTTGACCTTTGCGATTCTGAGGATGAGCCTGAAATGGAGCGGTGGATGGCGGAAGTGCAGGATGTTTGTCCAAGCATTCCTTCCGAAGCAATTTACGAACTGCTGCTGGAGACGCGTGATCCTGTCAAAACGGTACACAAGCTCTTGGACCGAGGACTGGCTGCTGCATCATAAAAACATGGATGTTTTTCCCCAACAGCGTAAGCTAATGGGGTCTTCAGCCCAGAATAGCTCCGGTGTGCACTGGTGCAGGCGCCGGGTCAGGTTCAAAGAGGTTCCGGAGAAGGTTCCGAAGGTTCCGGAGAAGGTGTGGGAGGCTTCGGTGCAGAGCCAGGTCAGGTTCAACAGGGTTCCGGAGAAGGTTCTGGAGAAGGTTCCGGAGAAGGTCTGGGAGGCTTTGGTGCAGAGCCAGGTCAGGTTCAACAGGGTTCCGGAGAAGGTTCCGGAGAAGGTCTTGGAGCTTTTGGTGCGGAGCCAGGTCAGGTTCAACAGAGGTTCCGGAGAAGGTTCCGAAGAAGGTCTGTGAGGCTTTGGTGCAGAGCCAGGTCAGGTTCAACAGAGGTTCCGGAGAAGGTTCCGGTGAAGGTCTGGGAGGCTTTGGTGCAGAGCCAGGTCAGGTTCAACAAAATTCCGGAGAAGGTCCGGAGGTCTGGGAGGCTTTGGTGCAGAGCCAGGTCAGGTTCAACAGAGGTTTTGGAGAAGGTTCCGAAGAAGGTCTCGGAGGCTTTGGTGCAGAGCCAGGTCAGGTTCAACAGAGGTTCCGGAGAAGGTTCCGGAGAAGGTCTGGAAGGCTTTGGTGCAGAGCCAGGTCAGGTTCAACAGGGTTCCGGAGAAGGTTCCGGAAAAGGTGTGGGAGGCTTTGGTGCAGAAACCATGTCAGGTTCAACAGGGTTCCGGAGAATGTTCCTGAGTTCAACAGAGGTTCCGGAGAAGGTCCGGAGGTCTGGGAGGCTTTGGTGCAGAGCCAGGTCAGGTTCAACAGGGTTCCGGAGAAGGTTCGGAGAAGGTCTGGGAGGCTTTGGTGCAGAGCCAGGTCAGGTTCAACAGAGGTTCCGGAGAAGGTTCCGAAGAAGGTCTGGGAGGCTTTGGTGCAGAGCCAGGTCAGGTTCAACAGAGGTTCTGGAGAAGGTTCCGAAGAAGGTTCCAGGAAGCCTTGGTCCAAAGCCAAGTCAGGTTCAACAGAGTTTTCGGAGAAGGTTCCGGTGAAGGTCCGGAGGTCTGGGAGGCTTTGGTGCAGAGCCAGGTCAGGTTCAACAGAGGTTTTGGAGAAAGTTCCGAAGAAGGTCTGGGAGGCTTTGGTGCAGAGCCAGGTCAGGTTCAACAGAGGTTCCGGAGAAGGTTCCGGAGAAGGTCTGGGAGGCTTTGGTGCAGAGCCAGGTCAGGTTCAACAAGGTTCCGGAGAAGGTTCCGGAGAAGGTTTGGGAGGCTTTGGTGAAGAGCCAGGTCAGGTTCAACAGAGGTTCCGGAGAAGGTTCCGAAGAAGGTCTGGGAGGCTTTGGTGCAGAGCCAGGTCAGGTTCAACAGAGGTTCCGGAGAAGGTTCCGAAGAAGGTCTGGGAGGCTTTGGTGCAAAGCCAAGTCAGGTTAAACAGAGGTTCCGGAGAAGTTTCCGGAGAAGGTCGGGGAGGCTTCGGTGCAGAGCCAGGTCATGTTCAACAGGGTTCCGGAGAAGGTTCGATCCTGGAGGCTTTGGTGCAGAGCCAGGTCAGGTTCAACAGGGTTCCGGAAAAGGTTTCGGAGAAGGCCTGGGAGGCTTTAGTGCGAGCCAGGTCAAGTTCAACAGGATTCGGGTCCATTTAACTCAGGGAAACCCAGCTGAGGCGTTTCCAGCGCTTGGCTTCGCAGCATGCTTCAGAAAGATTTGTAAAAATAAAACGTTGCAGCAGTTGGGGATACCACCGAAGTTTTTTTTTTTGGATACAGGATTGTGCTGAATACTGCCCCAAGTCAGGTATGAGAACTCAATCATGACATGATCACTCATCAATTTACGTGGGCAAAGGACAGCAAGGAGCAATCCCAGATGTACAGCGCAGCGGGCGCAGCGGACAGGTATTCCCAACAACTTCGGAGCGGCGTTGGGGACCCTTGCGCCCTCCATCCTCTCGAGATATGAAAATTCGCCGCCTAGCAGGATGGGCGGGTGGGACGGAGGTCATGCAATCAAGATTCAAGATATTCAAGTAATGACCCCAGATTCAAAGACCGCGACTGAATGGATTCTGATGCGTGGAGTGATTCTGTTTAGAGGGACGAGGTCCCCGAATCTCACTCTTGTCCAACTGGTTGTTGCAGGCTCTCCTTTGCAGCCAAAAATGGAACACCTTGCTGGAAGCCTAGTTTTCCAATTGAACCAGTCGGGCGCATGGTCATCGGTCCGAATCAACTCCTGAGCAAACCCACCGCTGTGGGTAGTTGGAGTAGCTGTTACAACCCCATCTTGGATATTTGATCATTCTTGTTGGTCGTGTGGTGTTCCGATTCTTCCCCTTGGTTCAATCCCCTTCTTTTTCCGGTGAAGGCCTATCACTGTACCTTTCCCAAGGTCGTCCTAGACTTTGAGTGGACCGCGGACAACCGGAGACCGGTCATGCCCATCAGCGAGATCACACAGTTTCCTTCGGTGCTGGTGCGCTTGGACGGTCACAAGAGTTGCATTGTGGACGAGTTTAATACGTATGTCAGGCCAACTCTGAACAAAACCTTGCCGCAGTTTTCGATCCAACTCACTGGAATCACACAGGAGATGGTTGATAGATCGCCATCATTGGAGGAGGCTCTCCCTCAATATTTACGGTGGTTGAAGTCTCATGGACTACTTGGGAATGAAGGTCAACGAATGGGATCTTGGGCTTTCTGCACCTGGTCTGATGCAGACATTGCTGCGCAGCTGGTGCGCGAATTTCACTTCAAGAAGATAGACATTCCTTCCTGCTTTGATCAGCACCTGGGCCTGACATGTGTCTCAACAGATCTCAACTTTCTCTTTATGACTTGTCCAGGTGTCACGTGTTCAAACAGTTTGGAGGATGTTTGATTCATGCACATCCTGGATTTTTCCAATGAACATTTTCAGTCAGCAAGATGGGTGCATTTGAACGTGGGGCACTCCAAAACCCAGTGGTTCATCATAATTTTCTCATACCTTGCCTGTTTTTTCCTTATGGCCATAAATTGGGGATATTCGGACAGACCCAGGTGGGTGGATCTGAAAATTTTATACAAGCGTCACTATCGGAAGGAACCCAAAGGAGGCCTGCAGGCCTGCGTGGAACGTCTGGGCTTGACATTTGAGGGCAGAGCACACGACGGCCTCATCGATTCCAGAAACACCGCAGCCATTGCGACTCGGTATCGGTGTCCTCGACGCGGCTAAGACTGGCGATGGGTAATCCCTAATTTCGATATTTAGGAGGTTTCCATAGGTTTCCTATGAATTGGAATTGGAATGGGAGTACCCCAAATCCAAACTTAGACCATTTCAAGAAACCGCTAGATATTCTCGGAAGATTTCCCCGACTTCTATGGATGATTTTCCTGCGAAAAATTGGTTTATCGATCTTGCCATGTTTGATTGCCAGAAGGTTCATCCTCTGGACTGATGAGAAGAGCTGAGGTCCTTAAAACAGGATGTTTGTCATGAAATGCAGCCCCTAATGACACTTCCAATAGGAGGGCCAAGAGGGCATGGTTTAGGCACGGTTTGGATTACCCACTCAAGCTCCTGGGTTTTAAACTTTGACCATCTTTGACTCTTCGCCATCTGAGGTTCTGCACATGGCAAGAGGATCGATGCTCTTTGGATCCTTCACATTCCGCCGTCCAACTCGTGGCCTTGACAAGAACGGATATGCCTTTGGCAGCAAGCAGAGTCGGGCCATGAAGCGAAAATCACCGGAATCTCTGGGAAAGGAACAAGATGAATCCAAGGAATCTAAGCGCAGCTGAACCACTCCGACGTGTTAAGATGATTTAAGATGAACATCTCTTGGATTTAACTTCTCAAGGCAGATATCGTGGAAGAGACTTCCCGAGTTGCCGTGGCTGGCCTTTCATCAACGCAGACCTATCAATCCCTGAGCTCACGACGAAGGCTTGAGACGCGGGAAGTGAGTGGACCTTTTGATAGAATGCTGAAAGCAAACTCATGTGCCTGTGGCAACAACCTGGTCAGTTCGGATAGCTATCGGCCCAAGACTTGTAGCCAATGAGACATACAGACTGCTGATCCTAGCATTGAAAGCAGTTGCAAGCAGTGCTCCAAGCAGTTGGATTTGATTGTTCCATTGCGTTTGGATATCTTTGGAATCTGAAACTGTCTCTTGACCTTGGTTCGTTGACTTGGATGGTTCCTGGAAATCCTGTTGTGTTCATGAGCGCAAGAGCTCACTTCAGGAGCCCTAAACATTCAAAACACAACTATATTTGGACAACAAAACTGCTCAGTGCTAATGCTGAGACCGCGGGCATGTCGGGCATTTGGAACGATCAAGCCTCATGACCTGACTGCGCTACCACGTTTACGATCTGTTCCATGCCTGCTGATGCGCGGGGGCACATCGCGCGGACCTTATTTCCTGGCGTCAGATTTGCCAACGGAACGCTGGACGCCCTTCCTGCTGGATGTGATGGGCTCCCCTCATGCCCTGCAAATCACTGGGCTGGGCGGTGGAAATTCGCTGACCAGCAAAGTTGGGATCATGGCACCATCCCAACATGGGGAGGATGTGGATTACACCTTTGCCCAGGTTCGAGTAGATGAGGCTGTTGTGAAATGGAAGGCAAACTGTGGAAATATCCTTGCAGGAGCTTCTTGGCCTGTGACCGAGCATGAAATATATTGCACAGGACGCCACATGCGATTTCAGGTCAGAATCCAACATGTTCTTTTACTTTAAACTGTTAAGTTGAGCCTTTGAGAGCAACTGCCTTGCAGGCAACGACGTCATACTGAAATAATGTACACTGAAAGCTGGTTCACTTGTTGACTTTTCGTTTAGATTACACAACTTGTTCTTTGCAGTGCACTCACCAAGTTCAAGACCCAAATCATCGAGGTGGGCCCTGCTGCGATCATGCGGGGCCTGGTAAAGGCTGAGGACCCAGAGACGAAGATCCGGATCTTCAATACGAACACGAAAACACGAGCGCTGGTGACACTGTGACGTGACCAAATTGAGTTGTTTGAGCTTTGAATGGCTGATGAGCTCGAAGAAATGACCCAAGCCAACTGGTGGAAGTTTCTTACAATGCAATCTGGACACAAGACAATCTTCATGTTTGGTGGGTACAGGTTGAGCATTGCATTCAAGTTCATGCGTAGGATCGCGCAAGAAAGCGTGGTAGCCGGTAGCACGTGTAGCCCGATGAACACCATAGCGACGAGGCAAACCCCTGGTGGACAACTGACCTTCGATGGCCCTACAGCAATTGATGGTGTTCCAGGAACATCAGCACCATGGCTGGTGTCTTCCCCCCATTAACTGTGCATGGGGTAGCTTTGGGTATTTGCCAATATCTATTCGTTTGCAGGGTTTACTTTGTTTACTTGAAAGCTTTCTGAGCCCTGAGTTGGAACCTGACTTGCAATCTCTCAACATCTGTTGTTTCTCGAGGTTGTACACCAATTATTTGCTTGAAATTTGGTGGTACAGATGCTTTCCTTGTGTTGTTCTTGAAGTAAGCACAAGGCCGCCAGCCCTGCTTCGATCTGAGGCTCCCATCAAGGTCACCTTCCTGGATGTGCTGGGGGCACGCACGGGCAAGATTTTTCCCACGGGCCATCGTTCAGAGCTCATTGATGGCGTGCGAGTCACCTGCATTGATAGTGCCAACCCAGTGGTGCTGATGCACTTTGAACAACTGGGCCTGGAAACCGGCCATGAGGCTGTCGAGGAACGGAGTTTGGGAAATGACAGTTGCACGGAAGCTTCTGTCTATCCACTTCAACAATCCCAGGTTGTGTGATGTGTGCTTCCTTTGTCAAACGAACCGGCACTTGACCAGCACTTGATGAAGTGCGGGTGCGATAGATCTTCTCCTCCCACTTGCGGTTCGCTGAACGGAGTGGTACTGTACCCCCCCTTTGTCCATTTGTCACAAACATGGTAACCATGGCAGACGGTACGGGTACCCAATCCTCTCCCACGGGTAGCCGAACCCTTCAGGAGCTGAACCACGACCTTCCAATGCTCCAACGCTTGGAACACATCAGACAGGAAGCATCCCTTCGCATGGCTTTGGGACCTGCTCAGGGCAAGAATCTCCCCAAGGTTGGTTGAAAGCGCACCAAGGGGTGAAGGGAATTATGAATGTTGAGTAGCCATGTATCAGTTCTGTTTTTTCCCAAAAGCATCTCCGATGCTGGAGATGCTTGGCCGGACGAGCAAGAAAGGAAGGAAGGAAGGGCCGGACGAGCGTGGATGGACTGTGAATCGTGGAAATAGCTTGGGGGGAGCGAAACGGGAGCGTCGTGGATGGACTGCGAAGCATGGAAATAGCTTGGGGGAGCTTCGATGAGTGCGGATGGACTGTGAAGCGTGGACATAGCTCCGCTGGAGGGAGCGAGGCGGGAACGCCGGATTGTGAAGCGTGGAAATAATAATAGCTTGGGGGGAGCTCCGCTGGGAGGGAGCGATGCAAAAATGCAAAGTTGGTGGCACAGGTTTTTTCGGGACGATTTCCATCAATGCGATTGTCCTCAAAAACTGTGGGTCCAAGATGTGGAAATAGCTTGGGGAGAGCTGCGCAGGGAGGGGGCAACACTAAAAATGCACAGCTGTTGGCATGGGTTTTTCAGGACAAATTTCATCAATACAATTGTTCCGAAAAACTGTGCGCCCAAGACCTGCCAAAGTTTCCAAACCCTGGGCCATGGGACATGCATAGGTTCGTTGGCAGGGAGCGAGACTAAAAGAGCAGGGCACGGGTTTTACACAGAGCAGCTTTTACACAGAGGAGCTTTACACAGAGGAGCTTTACACGGAGGATCTTTTACACAGAGAAGCGTTTACACAGAGAAGTCTTTACACAGAGGAGCTTTTACGCACAGACGCGTTTACACAGGGAAGTCTTTACACAGAGGAGATTTTGCACACAGAATCTTGTGCACACAGACGCGCTCAGACACTGAAGGTTTTACAAAAAGACAATACGGCGCGCGGAACTTTTACAGAGAGCAGCTTTTACGCAGCGAAACTTGTACACACAGGGGAGCTTTTATACACAGAAGCTTTTACACAAAGATTTTTTTTATACACAGAAGCTTTTACACGCAGAAACTTTAGATACAGAAGCTTTTACACAAAAAAAACTTTACACAGAGGAGCTTTTACACACAGACGGGTTTACACAGAGGAGTCTTTACACACGGAGGCGTTCACACACAGGGAAGCTTTTACACACAGAAGCTTTTACACAGAGTAGTTTTACAAAGAGAAATCTTTACTCAAATAAGTCTTGACGCAGAGAAGCTTGCACACACACACAGAGGCTTTGACACAGACAAGTCTTTTACACGGAGAAGCTTTTACACCAAAAAAACCTTGACACAGAGGAACTTTTACACACAGAAGCTGGTACGCAAAGAAACTTTCACAAACAGAAACTTTTACACACAGTGGCGTGGCGTTTTACACAGAAGCTTTTACACAAAAAACCTTTACACAGAGGAACTTTTACACAAAGAAACTTGTACGCACAGACGCGTTTACACACAGTAGCCTTTAAGCATAGAAGCTTTTGTACAGAGAAGTCTTTACCCATCTTTCATCATGTCTCATCTTTAATGATCAATCACCATCTGTCATCTTCACATCTTCGTTTTCATGCTCTTCTGGTCAACTCCCTCCGTCGTTTAGTTTTCATTTCGCACGGTGTTCTGTCCGTCCACGCTTCGTCCTTGCTCCCTCTGCTCCGAAGCAAGCTAAACGAGAACCCACGAATAAATAGCGACTAGAAAGATGGGATAGAGTTAATTACATTAGCAGAAAACAGCGACTAGAAGAATGTAGACGTAGCTGACACAGCATGCTGTGGTGAATTGTGGCCCCTGATGCCATCAGTGCGCACGATGTTTCAGTAAAGATCTTACATCGATTTCGTGCAGAGCACAGCTGCCCACACCACAAGATTCTTTAAAAAAGGCGTGCTGTGTGCCGTCTTGCTTTTGGGTTCTCTGGCCCACCTTGTTGTCACATTTGGTTTCTGGGAGAATTCGCCTTCCTTAGACTTTTCCAATTGATGCATGTTTTTCAACTTCTATCGATAGGTTGCTGTTTTATCTCCACCTTCAGATGGTGGCAGCATCTGCTCGCGCTACTTTGTCCCTGACTGTTGCCATGCCGCACACGCCGTGACTGGTGCCATTGCCATTGCTGTTGCCACCACCTTCGATGGCACCGTGGCCGAAGAAGTGGCTGTACAGCAGGAAGGACCCCTGCGAAGGGTGGAGGTGGAGCATCCCTCAGGCCGGATCCAGCTGGATTTGGTGTTGGATCTCAGTGGTTCGAAGGTGGGCCGTTCCACCGGTGCTAAGGTGAATGGAAGGGTAAAGGAGGCCAGCCTCATCAGAACTGCAAAACCAATTATGGATGGGCAGGTTTTTGTGTGCTCAAGACATTTTGAAGGATAAGTTGCCGATCTTTTTGGAAAATGGGCAGATTCAAATGTCTTCTTTTGGATGTACAGACATGTACAGACTACAGACATGTAGAAACATGTGAATAAATGTACAGGCGACGGATGCGCTGAAGTTTCTTGTTGTCGACTATGACTGACTATGTCAGAGTTGTATAGAGTTGTTTCTTGTGCAGTACTTGCAAATGTCCATGGTTCAAAGTGATTGATGGCCAAACTTGTCCGTTTCAGTATTATTGCATAAATGCATAAAGTCATAAAGATTGAACTCTTGAGCCATGCGCGAATGCCATTGATGCAGCACAAACAGCTGGACAAAGTAGAGGGAAAATAGGAAGGCTGCGGGGATACCATAGAAATTACAGTGGGAATTGCTGTGACTGGAGTCACTCCAGTCTATCAGATCTTTTAAGGCGTGACCATTCTGTTGACAGCGAAATCCGTCACCAGGTTGGATCAAATTTGATTGGATAACCATTCGATTGCCTCCTAGCCTTCTGAAGGTTTTGGCGATGCAAGTACTAGTATGATGCAAAATGATGCAAAGTATTTTCCAAACGCCACGCGATTTCTTGCATGGACAGGACTTTTCCAAGCTTCTGTTGTCTCAGTGCCTCTGCGCGAATCAGATTCATCAACTTTCAGAATGTGTCAATAACATCCGATGAGGCTGAATTGCAGAGTTTCATGTTGAGTTTCATGTTGAGTTTCATGTTCGAAGATGTTCGAAGATGTTTTGATTTTCATAAAATGTTTAGTACACGATGTGCAGAGAGCTTCCGCCATGAAGTGGTTCGCTGAGATCCCCCTGACTTACAAAATCTCACAGATTGCATTTTTTCCTATGGTGCAAGCGCTAAAAAAATAGTGTAGCCGAGGGCCGCTCGAGAATGATGGTGCAGTTTTGATTGTCGCCCATTCAACACTTCTCTTTGCACTGAGTTTGCATCATTTTCCTTTGGTATATTTTGGGGTTCATCTCAGACAGACTCAGTAATTCCATGCTTCAAATCCCAGCGCACGAGACCTGGGAGGTATTCTCCTTGGCACCCCGAGCAAGGTGATGCTGGTGCAGCGATTTTCGGAGACTCGGAGACCAGTGGCCTGCTTGACCAAAAACACGTGCCATGCGCGTGGGGTTTGGGGGGTTTCGCCACTGATGACCTTCACTGCAACTCCAGAATTTTTTCAGTGATTGACTCGAATTGCTGTGCAGTGGATTGTCAATGGGACGTCATGGCGCCAAAAAACCATCACCCATTGACATTGCCACTTCCCTATGTCAGGCCATCCACCAATCTTGTTGGCTGCTTGCATCTGCACAAAGGCGACTGGGGGGGAAGAGAGCTTGGCTTTGCATGGCGACAATCTCTGATGCTCCACTGAGTTCTGGAAAGATGGGTAAATCTAGGACACGTAGTAGCCACACCTCTGTTCACTTCCATCTACACAGGTTTTGGTATGATCAGATCTTGGCTCACGAGCTTGCAAATAGAGCCCTCTTACTGTAATGTGCTGTATCCTGCCACCATGGCACCAGTTGTGGCGACAGGTCTCTTGTGACAAACTTGCAGTCTGACTCAGTCTGGCAGAGTTGGCAAGAGGGCCTGTGGGGACTGGGGTGAAATAAATGGCTTTGCAGCTAGCAAGCCCTCTATCTGATGGATTTTCATGCAGTATTATTTGACACTCTGTTGTGCGCGATGAGCATTTTTTTAAGATGGCCTGCTGTGGATATAGAGAGATAGAGATTCTGGGTAGTCACAAATGGATACACATGGATTCCCAAAGTTGCCAACGCCATTGAGGTCTGTCGTTTGAAACCGACCCACCCTGATGACATGTTGGAAAGTTCTGCCCGATTTAGGACTTGGCCTTTGGCCTTTGGCCTTGATGCATCAGGGTAAGTCAACTTTGATGCATTCCCCGACGCATGCGGAACATGTTCAGTTGCAAGAGGGCGGTTGAGTGAGTTGAGTGCATCAGATGGATGTTACATGATGTTACTTCCGTGCTCCAGCCACTGACGGCTCAAATTGCAAAAAACGAAGGCCAGGTTCACATGTTTCTCTCAATGTTGAAGTCAACGCAGTGATTCATCGCGCATTTCCCCCACATTTCCCCCACACCCGATCGATTTACAAGAATAAGATCCATCTCAACAGAGGTGCTGACTTTCATGGACAGATCCGCGCAGGAGCTGCCCCCTGTAGGCAGGGCCCGAAGGTGGTTTAAAAACCATCGTTCTGATCACCATTTTACCACCATCTATATCCATCTATCATCTATCATGTGGTGTAATTATATACATGTGTATTTGATATGCTTTGGGAAATGCTATACCCTTTGGATCCCTTTGGATTTTTTGTTCTGTTTGGTTGTGAGGGGGATTGTGGGATATATTTTTTCAAGATTCTTGTCCTGGTCTTGGCCATGCAGCCCACCTCCAACAGGCGAGAAGGCCCACAGCCGGGGTGCTCTGGGTACGTGGCATGTTGCTGGCACCAAATCCGGGACGACCGGGACTGGCTCGGCTCGTCACTGCGTGTGGTTGAAGGAGATGCGGCCATGACCGGCCATGTCAGTTATCAGTGTTTGTCGGTTTGAAGGTGCCAGATTCACCAATAAATTCATGGAAAGTTGCTGATCCCTCATGGTAGACCTTCTTGCACTGGTTCTTTGAAGCCATGTTGGCAGTGCTGCCTTGCAAATTGTGGACTGAGGAGCTCAAGAAGCTGGGTGTGAGTCAAAGCGATGTATTGCTCCTCCGAGCGTCGAATGGCAAACAGACCGTGGCAGCTTGCGAGGAGTGGCATGCAAATCGACAAGTTCAAGACAGAGGACTGCTGTTGAGCAGATCTTGTCGCCAGTCTTTGGCAGCTGAGGATGGAGACGAGCTTGAGTTGATTGGCCAGTTCGAGGCAGAGAGCGCCACAGAAGTTCTTCTGGAGACATCCAATGTCTTTGTTGCAGCCTGGTCTTCTTTGGGAACAGGTTTTGAACTCAACAGCTATTTGAAAGCTGTCTTGGACGGCAGCCTCCTGTTCAAAGGGGACGTTCGCCATTTATCCCTAAATGGAGAAATGTCGGAACTTAAGATTTCTGATGTCCAAGGGTCCAAAGCAGTTTCAAGTTCAGCACCCTGGCCGGGTCCATGGTTGGTGGACTCGAACACAACCGTACAAGTGAAAGCCACATCCAAAAAAACCGATGGCGGCGGCCAGGGTGGCCAGGGCGGCCAGGGCGAGGCAGCTGGTTTTGCCCGGGTGGGCGGCCTTGCTGCTGTGATCGAAGAACTGAAGGAAGCGGTTCAGCTTCCTCTCCAAAATCCCGCTCTGTACCGCAAGATTGGCGTCACACCACCACGGGGAGTACTTCTGTATGGCCCACCTGGCACGGGGAAGACCTTGTTGGCCAAGAGTTTGGCTGAAGAGCTGGAGTGTCCCTGCGAGCTGCTGGCTGCCACTGATTTAGTGGGCACAGGTTTTGGTGAATCTGAGGAGAGGATCAAGAATGTTTTTCAGAGCTGTAGGCAGCAAGCCTCTGATCGCGGCACTGGGGCGCTGCTGTTCATCGATGAAGTGGATGCAGTTTGCCCCAAACGGGATGATGCCAGCGAGGTGGAGCGGCGGATGGTTGCCGCATTTCTGACAGCCCTGGATGGCGTCCACAGCGGCGACAGTGTGGTGGTTCTGGGAGCCACCAATCGGCCAGAGGCCATTGATCCTGCACTGAGAAGGGCTGGCCGATTGGAGCGGGAAATTGAAGTTGGGGTGCCCAACGCTGAGGAGATGTCGGTGCAAACTCCTGCGAAAATCATTGAAACTTCAACTTTAAATCGTGATGTTTATATTCACCCCGCTTCGCGTGGGGTGGCCGCCCACACCGCAGGTTTATTTCGGTCCGTGAGAGGGGCTAAGGGTGGTTTCCCCCCGTGGGGGCTCCCCAAGCTAAGAATTTTCACTTCCCCCCCTGTGGGGGCTCCCCAAGCTAGGGAATTTTCACTTTTCCCCCCCGTGGGGGCTCCCCAAGCTAGGGAATTTTCACTTTTCCCCCCCGTGGGGGCTCCCCAAGCTAGGGAATTTTCACTTTTCCCCCCTGTGGGGGCTCCCCAAGCTAGGGAATTTTCACTTTTCCCCCCCGTGGGGGCTCCCCAAGCTAGGGAATTTTCACTTTTCCCCCCCGTGGGGGCTTCCCAAGCTAGGGAATTTTCACTTTTCCCCGCCGTGACAGCTTCCCAAGCTATGGAATTTTCACTTTTCCCTCCCTTGGAGGCTCTCCAAGCTGCGGAATTTCAAATAGCTAGACAACGACGCCTAGATAGTCCCCCAAATCCCGTGTTCTTTGAATGTGTTTCCATGTTTTTGCAATGGTTTCCTTCAAAGCACGGTACTTTACACTTTTGTCGCCATAAAACCGGTCGAAAACATCATGTTCGACAATGCTTCCAATTCCCTTATCTCCCCAACCGTTGAAAATACCGCTATTTACAGTGTTTTCTTCAATTTTTCCATGTTCCAATGCCGGTAGCCAACTCCAACATATATATATATATATAAGAAATCCTTCCAAAACATTGTTTTTGACAGTCCAATGTTTCCAGTCAAACAGACGGTAATTTACACGTTTTTTGCCATAAAGGCAGTAAATCCTTCCAAAACATTGCTTTTGACAGTGTTTTTGTAATGTTTCCAGTCAAGCATACGGTAATTTACACGTTTTTTGCTATAACGTCAGTCCAAAACACTTGTTTTTGCAGTGTTTTCAATGCTCTGGCATCCAAAAACCCTGCAAAATCTTGCTATGTACAATGTTTTTTTCATTTTTGGCCGTTTTTCCATTGCCGGAAAGCTACCAAAATGACCCAAAATTCCATTTCAATACCCTCTTGCGCTCAGACACCCAAAAATCCTCGAAAAATGTCGAAAACACCACCGTATTCTGGTCTCGGTGCGAAACCGTTTTTGGCCCCCCCCCCCCAGCTAAAGCTGATATAGCGACTGCTATATTAACAAATGTCATTGAGCATTTAGTGTTGCTGTTGCCCCCCAATAAGCACGCCTTCACCGCCAAAGCGGTGTGGGCGGATTTATAACACATTGGCAATGTCATGGCAATGCATCAGTACACTACACCACATGTATATCACATGACTAAAATAGATTTCCCCCCACTCTTTCACTGTTTGTTTCCTTGCAATAACAGTGTCCAGGAGAGACTGCAGATCTTGCGCGTTCATCTATCCGCTTTGCACCACAACCTGGATGACACCCAGCAGCGTGAGCTTGCTAGGAGATGTCATGGATATGTGGGAGCAGATTTGCGATCCCTCTGTACCACTGCAGCTCGTGCCACCCTCCGTGCTGGAAAAGACGTGGTGGATTTGGAGAGTTGCTACGATGCCTGTCGGCAAGTGCCACCTTCAGCCTTGAAAGAGCTGTTGGTGGAGGTGCCAGAAGTGCGGTGGGATGACATTGGTGGCTATGAAAAGACAAAGGAGGCGTTGAAAGAGTCCGTGGAGTGGCCGATCCAACACGGATGGGCATTTGAGTCCATGAACATGGAGGCTCCACGCGGCGTGCTTCTCTACGGACCCCCAGGTTGTTCAAAGACAATGATGGCCAAAGCTGTAGCCACAGAAACAGAGATGAACTTCATCTCCGTGAAGGGGCCTGAACTTTTTTCTAAATACGTTGGTGACAGTGAGCATGCTGTCCGGGAGGTCTTCCGCAAAGCTCGGGCGGCCTCCCCGTGTGTGATTTTCTTTGATGAGGTGGACTCCTTAGGCTCCAACCGTGAGGAAAGCGGCGGTGGGGTGGCCGCACGGGTCTTGGCTCAGCTGTTGGCTGAGATGGATGGCATCGGTTCCGCAGGACGTCATGTGGTGGTGCTGGCAGCAACCAACCGACCCCAGGCCTTGGATTCGGCGCTCACCCGACCCGGTCGTTTTGATCGCTTGGTCCATGTGCCCCTGCCTGATGAAGCGGCGCGGGAGGCCATTTTCCAACGGCAACTGACGCGGATGCGCTTCAGCTTCCATGAGCTTCCCGTGACAGGGAGATCAGAGGCTTCATTACTGGCCTCCCACACAGCTGGGTATAGTGGTGCAGAGGTGGTGATGGTTTGCCGGGAGGCTGCATTATTGGCAATCCGAGCATCTATTGCAGATGGGAAGGGCGCTCTTCCTTGTGCAACAGCTAGTCATTTCAATCATGCTCTGCAAGTGGTGAGACCGAGGATAACTGCTGAAACCGTTCGCTTTTATGAAGATTTCGAGCGGAGTATGCAACATTCGTGAGAATCTTCTGACTTGAAAATAGCTTGTGGAACTGGGTTCAATAATGTGAATGGGAACGTCTTAAGCTCCCCTTTAGCCCCCCCTGTAGCCTCTATGTGATAGGAAGTATTTGCGGCTTGACGATGCAGTGGAAAGACATCCATGCCAAGAGGCTAGAGTGTTGGTAGGCAGTGGCATCATGCAGATATTGGCTTTCTTGCAGTGCACTGCTTTGGTTGCAAGCAGCTAGCAACGTTGGATCACAAGCAAATAGTCATTGTGGGTCACAGTGGGTCAGGGATCAATCAGGTTTACTGTTTACTTAACTTCTCAAATACGAAACTTGTTTGAGAATGTTGAGAGGATACTTTCCCTCTTTGAACTTGCACTTGCTGGGTTACACTTTAGACTTCTGGGATGTTACTGACATCAGAACTCCAAGCAGCTCATTGCAATCTTGCGACTGCTTGTCTTGGAGATGCTCGATGGTCGACGGCGGCAAGATTCTATCAGGCTGCATGCTGGGGGACGATACCAGAGTGTGCTGCCCTCCAAGCTGCCAGTTGCCCCAAAGAATGCATGCACTCTTGGTGGGCAAAAGCTATGAAAGAGTCTTTTGTTTCTGAGAACTTTTCCCAATCCCACAGTTCCATCTTTGTGAATGACACCACATGGTCAGGTACGCCCACAACGTTCTATTCACAGCATTCATGTAGCCACCCACACACACACACCTGTTGAAAGCCATGTGGTTGAGTTGGATCAGCAGTGTGCCTGTGCATCCGCAGAACTACAGCTCAAGCTTGTTTTGTGGTTCTGAAGAGCAAAAGCGCAATCTTACCCATGCCTTTTGTTGCTCAAGTGTTCCTTGGAAGCAAACGGATCGCCTTTCCCCCTGAGAAATCGCGGAGCTCAAATCGGCGAGCTGGGTATGGGTCACAATTAGGGACCAACAATTGAAAGTCACTTCCCCCGGTGCCTTGTTCTACCTTCACCACCTCCAGTCCTGTGCGATGTGTCCGGTTTGGGGGCGGTTGCCACGGGGGGGATCGGCATCACTGGTGGGTGGGGTGGGGTGGACCTTTCTTCGTTCTGCTTTGGCCTCGGCCACCTTGTGTGCCTCCTGTGCCGGGTGTGGGAATTGCCGGGGGCCGGGGTGCTCCTCGGTCTTGGATCCTTCCTCATCCCATTTCCTGGTTGTCGACTCTTGTCGGGGGTCCTGACGTGGCTGTTGATGCGTGGCTGGCCTTGTCCAGGTGCTCGGAGCTGCCTTCGGGATGCCGCACTCCAACACCACCAATCCTTGTGAGTGGCTACCCCTATGCGGAGTCTACTGACAGCCCAGACGGTCCCAGACTTACTGACAGCAAAGATTTTTTGTTTCAGCAAGTTGATGTTGAGATTTCACGATATTTCACGTCGGTGACATCGAACCCCGTTGTCTATTGTTGTTGTCTATTGTTGTTGTGGTTCTCCGGGGATTTTTAACCCAGCCTCGACCTGTAAAGCCAGCTTCATGATTCATGGTCATGAATTCACAGAATTCGCAGTCTCATGTGCTGCGGGTTTCTGACAAACAGTTTCTGTGATCGTTCAAGGAACCAAAACGCCAACTGATACCGGTGTCTTTGCCTTCGACAGTCTCCAAGATAAGCTGCAAACCTTGGAGGCACGAATTGATTGGGCCAGTGGCGCAATACTGGAACATTGAACGAACATTGAATGGTTACATTAGTTACATTTAGTATTCATTTAGTTTCTGTACATTGAATGTATTAAATGTCATTATTGTTGATTTTTGGGGGTTGGTCATGGTCGACACTGGTGGCGCATGCCGATTTGTAGGCTCAGGAAGGAAAGCCTAAGGACGATTTCAAGGTGCGGTGGCAATCGGATTTTCCGTTCCCGGCTATGGGGGTACCCAAGATGGCCAAGACCACATGTAGTTTGTCGATGTCGCGCTGTTTCAGATTCAGATGTTTAAATTCTTTATGTTGATATGACTTTGATATGACTTTGATATGACTTAATATGACTTTGATATGACTTTGATACGACTTTGATATGACTTTGATACGACTTTGATATGACTTTGATATGACTTTGATACGACTTTGATATGACTTTGATACGACTTTGATACGACTTTGATATGACTTTGACTTTACTTTGATATGACTTTGATACGACTTTGATATGACTTTGATACGACTTTGATATGACTTTGATATGACTTTGATACGACTTTGATATGACTTTGATATGACTTTGATATGACTTTGATATGACTTTGATATGACTTTGATATGACTTTGATATGACTTTGATATGACTTTGATATGACTTTGATATGACTTTGATACGACTTTGATATGACTTTGATATGACTTTGATATGACTTTGATACGACTTTGATATGACTTTGATATGACTTTGATATGACTTTGATATGACTTTGATATGACTTTGATATGACTTTGATATGACTTTGATATTTGATACTTTGATATGACTTTGATATGACTTTGATATTTGATATGACTTTGATATGACTTTGATATGACTTTGATATGACTTTGATATGACTTTGATATGACTTTGATATGACTTTGATATGACTTTGATATGACTTTGATATGACTTTGATATGACTTTGATATGACTTTGATATGACTTTGATATGACTTTGAAATGACTTTGATATGACTTTGATATGACTTTGATATGACTTGGATATGACTTTGATATGACTTTGATATGACTTTGATATGACTTTGATATGACTTTGATATGACTTTGATATGACTTTGATATGACTTTGATATGACTTTGATATGACTTTGATATGACTTTGATATGACTTTGATATGACTTTGATATGACTTTGATATGACTTTGATATGACTTTGATATGACTTTGATATGACTTTGATATGACTTTGATATGACTTTGATATGACTTTGATATGACTTTGATATGACTTTGATACGACTTTGATATGACTTTGATATGACTTTGATATGACTTTGATATGACTTTGATATGACTTTGATATGACTTTGATATGACTTTGATATGACTTTGGACTTTGATATGACTTTGATATGACTTTGATATGACTTTGATATGACTTTGATGATTTGACTTTGATACTTTGATATGACTTTGATACGACTACTTTGATATGACTTTGACTTTGATATGACTTTGATACGACTTTGATACGACTTTGATATGAACTTTGATATGACTTTGATATGACTTTGATACGACTTTGATATGACTTTGATATGACTTTGATATGACTTTGATATGACTTTGATATGACTTTGATATGACTTTGATACGACTTTGATATGACTTTGATATGACTTTGATATGACTTTGATATGACTTTGATATGACTTTGATATGACTTTGATATGACTTTGATATGACTTTGATATGACTTTGATATGACTTTGATATGACTTTGATACGACTTTGATATGACTTTGATATGACTTTGATATGACTTTGATATGACTTTGATATGACTTTGATATGACTTTGATATGACTTTGATATGACTTTGATATGACTTTGATACGACTTTGATACGACTTTGATATGACTTTGATATGACTTTGACATGACTTTGATATGACTTTGATACGACTTTGATATGACTTTGATATGACTTTGATATGACTTTGATATGACTTTGATATGACTTTGATATGACTTTGATATGGCTTTGATACGACTTTGATACGACTTTGATATGACTTTGATATGGCTTTGATATGGCTTTGATATGGCTTTGATATGACTTTGATATGACTTTGATATGACTTTGATATGACTTTGATATGACTTTGATATGACTTTGATATGACTTTGATATGACTTTGATATGACTTTGATACGACTTTGATACGACTTTGATACGACTTTGATACGACTTTGACAGGACTTTGATAGGACTTTGATAGGACTTTGATATGACTTTGATATGACTTTGATATGACTTTGATATGACTTTGATACGACTTTGATACGACTTTGATACGACTTTGATACGACTTTGATATGACTTTGATATGACTTTGATATGACTTTGATATGACTTTGATATGACTTTGATATGACTTTGATATGACTTTGATATGACTTTGATACGACTTTGATATGACTTTGATATGACTTTGATGCGACTTTGATATGACTTTGATATGACTTTGATATGACTTTGATATGACTTTGATACGACTTTGATACGACTTTGATATGACTTTGATATGACTTTGATACGACTTTGATACGACTTTGATACGACTTTGATACGACTTTGATACGACTTTGATATGACTTTGATATGACTTTGATATGACTTTGATATGACTTTGATACGACTTTGATACGACTTTGATATGACTTTGATATGACTTTGATATGACTTTGATATGACTTTGATATGACTTTGATATGACTTTGATATGACTTTGATATGACTTTGATATGACTTTGATATGACTTTGATATGACTTTGATATGACTTTGATATGACTTTGATATGACTTTGATATGACTTTGATATGACTTTGATATGACTTTGATATGACTTTGATATGACTTTGATATGACTTTGATACGACTTTGATATGAATTTGATATGACTTTGATATGACTTTGATACGACTTTGATATGACTTTGATATGACTTTGATATGACTTTGATATGACTTTGATATGACTTTGATATGACTTTGATATGACTTTGATATGACTTTGATATGACTTTGATACGACTTTGAAATATGACTTGAAATGACTTTTGATATGACTTTGATATGACTTTGATAGACTTGGATATGACTTTGAATGACTTTGATATGACTTTGAATATGACTTCTTTGATATGACTTTGATACGACTTTGATATGACTTTGATACGACTTTGATATGACTTTGATATGACTTTGATATGACTTTGATATGACTTTGATATGACTTTGATACGACTTTGATACGACTTTGATATGACTTTGATATGACTTTGATATGACTTTGATACGACTTTGATATGACTTTGATATGACTTTGATATGACTTTGATATGACTTTGATATGACTTTGATATGACTTTGATATGACTTTGATATGACTTTGATATGACTTTGATATGACTTTGATATGACTTTGATATGACTTTGATATGACTTTGATACGACTTTGATATGACTTTGATATGA